GATCTTTTTTTAAAAAATATAAATAAATAAAAGACCCTGCAGAGAAAGATAGGGCTATTGCCAGAACATAGGTAAGAGGAACTCACATTCCTAGCTTCCAGAAAATCCTAGATTTGGCTGGGGTCCCTGAGCCCTCTGTTGTAGGGCTTCTCCTTATTTGCTGCCCACTAGGCTGACTTCTTAGAATCTTCTCTTGGAAAACCTTCAGTGTTCATTTCCCTAGCCTATGTTCTGCTTGCCTTTTATGATGTCACTTGCTGGCTTGCTGTTCCCCTGAGACCACTTAGGCAAACTCCCACTCTATCTTGTCTCCCTCTCTCCACATTCACTCAGTAGTCTCCTTGCAGGGATGGCAGACAGCTTTTTAGAATGAGAAGCAGTGTCAGGATAACAGTGAACTATGCTTAGTTTGATCGACAGCAGGATGAAAAGGGAAAATTGAAGTTAAGTCTCTACCAATTAAGCAGCTCTGGTCCTTTTACCCAAGAAACCACTTTTCTCTCCCTAAGTCTAACCAGTGTTTTTTCATCAAACACCAGATTATCTAGAATATCAAGAAGCCAAGCAAAACAATAGTTTCTAAAGGTATTCCACCAGTGAAAAAATGAGGAAGTATAATCTGAAAAGGTTTTTTATCAGAAGCTGGGAAATTGTGCCCTAAGTCCTATATATGTTTTGTTGTTGTTGTTGTTGTTTGCGGGGGGGGGGGGCAGGGGAGAGGGAGAGAGAGAATCTTAAGCAGGCTCCACACCCAATGCGGAGCCGAACATGGGGCTCAACCTCACAACCCTGAGATCAAGAGTCAGCCACTTAACCAACTGAGCCACCCAGGTACCCCATGTCCTATATACTTTCAGCCCTATAGGAGCACTCCTCTTAAGCTAATTTCTATTACAATGATAACACCAGCGCCTTTAGAAATTCCAGTTTTCATCCTTCTTTGAAATGATATTGTGTTATGGTAATATGCTACCTCTACTATACCCACATCTTGGTTCATGAGGTTTATATGCTCTCCTCTAATTGGTTGGGTTGACCTTCCCAGGACATAGCTAAGGTAGTCCTTGAAAGCTATAATTAAAAAAAAAAAAAAAAGCCCCAAGAAGTCCAGAGAGCTCCAGAAGTTAGGTAAAAGCAAGGAGGTGGGGGGGGGGGGGGGAGGAGTGTCAGAAGTAGTGAGGAAAGATCAAGGATTAACTTGGAAGTCCTGCTTTCTCGGATACCTGGATCTAGGCACATCGTTTCCCCTCATGTCTACTGGATCACTCATCACCTAGACATTTTTTTATTAAAGTTCACCCCAAAACCAATTGATAACACAAATCTTAACATGCCTTAAAAAAATGATAGGGGTGCCTGAGTGGCTCAGTTGTTAAGCGTCTGCCTTCGGCTCAGGTCATGATCCCAGGGTCCTGGGATCGAGCCCCACATTGGGCTCCCTGCTCAGCCGGAAGCCTGCTTCTCCCTCTCCCACTCCCCCTGCTTTAGGTTCCCTCTCTCGCTGTGTCTGTCTCTGTGCCAAATAAATAAAATCTTTAAAAAAAAAAAAATTATCAACAGCAGACTGTGATACTTGCTTTTAGTTGCTCCTGGCAGGCAGAAATCGGTGTCATTCATCAGCTTCCTAGTTGGCTGTCTGTGGGAAACATCTGCAAGTATGCCTGTCGGGACAAGAATTGGTATAGCTCGCACAGGTTTGAGCACCCTTAGCATTACCTTCCTCTGCGTGCTGTCATCTGTGGAGAGATTCATTTAGGCCTCTAGAAAACCCTGTGCAATCTACCTTTTCATATCCAGGAACCCAATTACTGGTTGGTAGCTCTAACCTATTTTTTTGTTTTTAAGTGTTTAAATTTTATATCAGCCTCCTCCGTGGCTGCCATACGGCATATCCAGCCATGCTGTACTGTCACATATCTGTCTGAGAACTTTCTTGGGGGTGACAACAGGGCATAAATAGCTTTGTAGTGTTTCTAGACTGTCCTAAATGAAAAAGGTTAATTATATGTCATTCTTGTAGGAATAAATCAGTGGAAATGATTAGCGAGCTTTGATATCTGTATAGTGGCTAAAACTGATACCTGGTAAAATCGTAATTTCCTTGTCTTAGTGAAAAAAAACACTGTTTCTTCACTATAGAGGCAACTGCCAGAGTCTACAGGGCTGGCTGAACTTAAAGCTGAAGATGTAGCTAAAATCTTACCCAACAAATTAGATATTTACAAAGAGGAAACTAAAGCATTTTCAAGTGAGGTCCCACATTTTAGGAATAACAAAGTCAATAGATAAACGTGATTTGTCAGTAAATGAATCAGGTCTCAGTCAGTGAATACCATGCAAGGTAGACTTCTATTTCAGTTAGGAGGAAGCAAAAGAAGGCACAAGGCAGAGTAGTTTGATTATATATGGGTCCTTTTCCATACCTAAGAGATGGTGTGGCAGGTCTGTCTTTGGAGAGACTGATAAGAATAGTTCTCCCAAGGGCGGGGGGGGGGGGGGGGAGAACGGTTCTCCCATATGGACAGTGAAGTTTGAAAAAGGCAGCTTTGCCTAGAAGTAGCAAGAGAAAGTAAATGGTCTCTTAAATTGTTAAATTGTTGTTTCATTTGGTTGTCTGTGGGCTCAATTCCCTGACTCAAAGGTCCTAAGTTAACTTACTACTCTAACTGACATCAGCAGCCAATATAGTATTTTTACAACCAGAAAGGGAACGGGGGAGGGGGGCAGGGCAGGAGAGGAAGCTGACAGTTTAAGAATGTACTTCCTCATAACTATCACATTTAATTTTTACCATAAGAGTAGCTGGTAACTTGCACAAGGTCACATAGCTAGAAGATGTCAAAGCAACAATTAGAGCTCAGGTCCAGCCAAGGACATCACACTCTTTCCCAGAAGCATTAACAGTTTAGTTCCGCGAGTCTTCACTGAGCACCCATCGTGTTCTGGCACTGAGGATGTAGCTGGGAATAAGTGCATGCATCACTGGTAAGGAAACCCCCCGTAACAACATGTCTTTTTTAAATCTATGGGTGTATGTCTTTGTATTTCTCTAACCTTTTCTTCTCAAAATTCATGACTTTTAGGAAGCCTTTGTAGTTGGAGCCCACTGATTACCACCCTTACCTCCTTAGCACTTACTCACATGTGTTCCTTCCCTTGCTTCAGACAAGCTTGTTGATTATGTTCCTGGTGCTCTCCTGACTCACGCAGCTTATTCTGTGTATTCTTCCTTGGTGCCTCTTCTGCAGGGCTTTGCACGCAGTGGGTTCTTAAATTCACTAGAGCCTTAACATTTGCTGGTATGGAGTTCATTCTTAATTCATGAATCTTTGCCATGTCAGTTTATAGTTTTCCTGGGATATGAATTTGAATTCACCCAGATGCCTTAAAGGCTGGATCTTAACACTAAGCTGGTGAGTGGGCATCGCCAACAGTCTAGCATCTCAGTTTTCACTTGAATAGACTTGAAACGTGTTTATACATTAAGTAATTCTCGAGAGGTGATTAAAATTTAGTTTCTTTGTTCGAAAATAGGATTCAAGTAAGAGAAACAACCTTAGTTAATGTTGATAAAGTAGTCATTGATAGTGTGGGCTAGGCATATGACTCTCCCTGAAGATCATTTATAAATGTGAGACAGGGACCATTCCTCAATTCCAGATTCGTAAGTTTTAGGACACTACAACTCCCAAGTTTATGAGAATGCTAAAGAGGCACTATATACTTTTCTTACTGGCTTCCCCATCTCTAGTGGGACACATCCTCACATTAAAAAGCCTTTGTTTAGTCGGTGCTTGACCAGGGCTGTACCACAGAATCATCTGAGGGACTTTTAAAAAATACATGTTAGAAGGCCCTATCTAGACCTAGGGAAAGAGAGTCTCTAGGATTGATGTTGGGATATGTACATTTTGAAAAAGTCCACAAAAGAATTCTGATGAATATACTTGTGGTTTAGAGAGAGAATTCCTTTCAGCAAACACTTCTGGACAGCTTTAGGGGGTGGTATATATTGTGCTGTCATGCTGTGTTGGTTGACAAACCAGTGGCTTCCAGGGACCATTTAATGCTTCTTCAACAAAACAGTGTCATTGAGTGACTCCTCAGCAGTCAAAGGATTTATTATTCGTTTTGTAGATTATTGGGCCCTTGTTTCTCTTCTTCCATTTTTTGTGTGTCCTTGAGGACTTTGTTGTTCTTCAGTATCTCCAAAGAGAAAATAAGTAAATACATTCAAATCAACTGAGTTTTTATTTGCCTGAGTTCTTTAAAAAAATAAAAGGTGGAAATAAGAGGGTAACGGTCATCTATGATTTTTTAAAATGTAAAATATCGATATAATCATTTTTTGTTGTTTGTTTACAACCAAAGGTAGACCATCGATAGATAACCAAGCTTACAGTTTGCATCTACAAAACTCCTTTCTTCTGAGACCTCAAAGTACTTTCTTATTCTTTTCATTTTCTAACCACCATCCTAGGGACTAGGATGGGACTTACCCGCTCCCTGTACTCTCTTGCTCACCTTTCACCAGAGGTCTAGGATAAAGCGAGAAACTGTCTGAGTTTTAATATTTGTAGATTACAGTATTCACTCAGGGCAGGGTTGGGGGTTTGTGAACAGAAGGAAGGTAATAGAATGGATATTGAGATCCAGAGAGGCTAAGTACCGCACAGAAAATCAGTCCCTCCTAGAACACAAGCATGGTTTGTTAGTTGGGTGGTGGATAAGGGTGGGGATACGTTTTTGATCATTTTACAGTTTGCTGACTTCCAGTTAAAAAAGATGCTTTCCCCAGTCTCAAATCTACTGAGTCATGGACGACTAGCTTAAGTAGCCTTTTGTGCAGTCATTGAATTGCTTTTCTTAAATTGCACCCATATCTCCACCTGTGAAGTTGAGACATCTGATTTGAAAAGTGCATTTATAAATGGAAATAATAATTATCAGTCCTTTGCTAATGCTGGTTTTGTTTTTGTTTTGTCTCTTCCTTTCTCTAGCATGAAAGACTTTCTAGGTAAGACCTTTCCCTGTTTTATATGCATGCTTAATACTTGTGAGAAGTGCATGTCTAATTAAACTTAGCTTTATATCATGTGCTCATATTTCTCACATCCTTTCCTTCCTTTTCATTTCCTCAGCCACCACAGTAGTTCAGACTTTTATTATTTCCTGCCTAAGTTAATGCAGTAGCTTTGCAACTCACCTCCTGCCTTCAGATTCTCCTCCTTCCAATTCATTTTGTATACTTCCACCACATTAATTTTCCTACAGCACCTACCAGGCACTGTGCTACAGAAACAACATGAATAAAACCCTATCCTCACCTTCAGTAAGGGCCAGGATAGTGGTATGGACAGTATTATGAGCAGAGAGAAGAGGCCATTAGCCTAATCTGGTGGTTCAAGAAGACTCTGTTGCAGGATACATGCCCGAATTGAGATTGAGTTTAGATACTGTCATTTAATAGTGGATCTAACACAATTCCTTGCACATAGATGGTGCTCCGTAATAATTTATTGAAAGAGCTAAAGACCAGTGTTGCAATTGCTGAAAAATTAAGGAAGCAGATAAGAGTTTGGGGAATGATCCTCTCTAATTTTTCACCTAGCATCGGAGGATACAAAACTGATCTTCCTGAAGAACAAAGTAAAAAATAGTAAAGACTGTGGAGCCAAAAGTATGAACCTCTCCCTTTCCAGTTTTCCTCTGATAGAGAAATTAAGAAAAAATTGAGGGAAAATGTAGTTATGGGATAGCATAGGGCAAATGAGTCTTATAATTTGTTTGATAATTGAGCTTATTGCACCTTAATGATGTATTTAAAAATGTATAAACTTGCATGGATTCTTCCTCTGCTCACCCTCTCACCAGGCACCAGCTGAAGATAAATAATTTACATCTAACCTAGCAGAAAATTAGTTTTGCAAAATTGGTAGAGAGTGGTTATTTTGCTATAGTTAATTTTTTGTGGATTCTGTTACATTATAATAGCCATTTATGAAAAGAGACTTTCCCTATAGACCTCAAAATATGCCAAAAAACTAATGGTTAAAACAGTGGGGTATTAGTTCAAGAATAAACAAAGATATCAATGGAACACAGTATAGTCCCCCAAAAGTCATATGTATAAGGTGATTTGTCAACTCTGTGGGGGAAGAGTTATTTAATAAGTGATCATTGGGACAACTGACCGTCTGTTTGGGAAAACAGATCCTTCCCTGAAGCCATACCAAAAAACAAAAACAAAACCAGATTCCAGATGGATTACAGTTTTTAAGAGAAAATGATTTTACTACAAAAGCAATAGAAGAAAATATTTATAATCTTTATATAGGAAAGACTCTCCCAGGCATGGTACCATAAAGGTAAAAATTGTCCAATTTAGTTATATAAAATGTAAAATCTCTGCTAGTAATAGACACCATAAACGGAGACAAAAAGTAAAGTGGGAAAAAACATTTGCAGCTTATGTTGTATAGTTTTAAAAGCTTTGCTATATAGGATGCTCCCACAGTGTAACAAGCGGAAGATTAACAAAGGCTCTGAATCGACAATTCAGAAACAAAGATAAATAATCAAAGATACTGAACCTTCCTAGTGATCTACAAATATTAAAATTAATGACAATGTTTCTCCTATTGGACTAGAAAGGATTAAACTCTCTGAAGGACAGTATACATGTATCAAAATTTAGAATAGACTTACACCTTGACCAAAGGATTCCACTTCTAAGATTTTATCCTAAGAAAATAATCAGGCAAATGCACTAAAATTTGTAGACATGTCTTCTCACTTGTAGCATCATTTCTAATAGCTAAAAAGTTCAAAATAATAGAGGTGTCTGTCACTAGAAGATTCAGTTACCATACACCACTCAGTGGAAGACTGTGCGGTCATTTTTTTTTTTTTTTTTAATGAGACAGATCTGTTTACTTACATGGTAAGATGCCTCCAAGCGTAGTGATAAGTGGAGGGAGGAGGAGGAGTTAGACAATAGTATGTATTATCTGGTTTTATTTATAGAAATATATACATTTTAATGTATCATGTGTTTAACCTTTTGCAAGGATATGAAGTAACTGTTAACAGTGGGTTATTTCTTAGGCAGGATTATGGAGTGACTTTTACTTTCTGTTTTAGACACTTTGGTACTACTTACATTTTTCTGCAAGCATGTATTGCTTTTGTAATCAGAAAAGTCAGTGAAGAGGTTTCTATTTACAAATTAAAAAAAAAAAAAAGAAGTGTAAGAGAAAAAAGACAGCTGTGAAGAATGTTGTAGGATTTAGCATCTCTGTACGACAAAGTGGCCCCTAATGCCATTAGGAGCTTTGCCTCTCCCCCGCTGTGTCCTCCTTATTGCTCCTCTACTTCTTCTGATACGTATTCCAGCTCCCTCACCCCCAGCTTTGGCAATAGCTACCACAGGACAGAGCCTTGAGATGGAAGTTCCACAGCTGTGATTCAGCACACCATCCCAGTTCAGGGAGGGAGAGCTCTGCAGGGCCGGTTTGTACGTAGCAGTCTCGTGGGCCACATTTTCATTTGGAAAGAACAAAGTCTGAGAAAAATGTAAACCACTGTTAAGAATCAGGATGATCGGGCGCCTGGGTGGCTCAGATGGTTAAGCGTCTGCCTTCGGCTCAGGTCATGATCCCAGGGTCCTGGGATCGAGTCCCACATCGGGCTCCCGGCTCGGCGGGGAGCCTGCTTCTCCCTCTGACCCTCTCCCCTCTCATGCTGTCTCTCTCTCGCTCGCTCTCTAAAAAATAAATAAAATCTTTAAAAAAAAAAAAGAATCAGGATGATCGTTGTACACTTAAACAGATAATCAGCTGAGAGACCCTTCCACTAATGAACTTACCACTCCTGGAAATGAGGCCACCATCGACTCTCAGAGCTCAACTGCTGGAAGACGTAGAAATCCTCATCACAGGCTCACAACTGCAATGTGGACTGGAGAAGAGAGGGTAGAAAAATAGCTGTTTGGGCACGGAGGTGTTACCCTGAAATGTTTGAGATTCCAACAAACCCTGCAGTGCACCTAAAAAACATACTCGCCATGCCCTCATTGTCATTTTTCGCCCCCACGCCCTCCAGCTCTGAACTCCCAAGTCCGTATGTTTCTGATTCATTGACAGTTCGTTGGAATCATTGTCTAAGAGCCATTGAGATCCGAAAAAACTTCTGCTTTTAAAAGCACACTCTTTGAGGAAAGCTGTTCAACCCCAAACTAATTTGAAAAGCTCTTAAGATTTAAGTCGGCACATGGGTCCAAACCGCCAGCTTTTCAAGTAAGCTCCATTCTTGGCAAATGATGGCCTCCTCCTCCAAGCTGGCGCAGCTTAGCTCAGAGGTCCGAGAATGCTGGCTGAGGGGATTCAGGGAAGGAATGTGCGTTGTTTCTGGCCAAGGTGCTCAAGTGCCTCTTAGAAAAGGTGCAAACTCCCCTGAAGCATTACCTTCCTCCCTCTCTTCATTCTTAAAACCAATGTTTACCTTTAATGTATCTCCCACAGGTTGGAATCAGGAGGTAGTAACCCTACAAGCAGTGATTCTTACAGTGACCGGGCCTCAGCAAGAGCCCGCCGCGAGGCCCGGGAGGCCCGCCTTGCCACCCTGACCAGCCGCGTGGAGGAGGACAGCAACAGGGATTATAAAAAAGTAGGCTCCCTTTTCAACTTTGCTGTTGTTGGGTTACAACACGTAAACCTCTCAGCCTTTTCCCCAATGTAGAAAAATGATTGTAGTTCCCATGAAGCAGAAGAAAACTGCTTTATGTGATAAATAGTAGCAACTAATTTTCTTGGTTTGTTCCACCTCTCTACCAGTTAAACACAGACCATTTCATATATTGTTTTTAGTGCAGTAAATATATGCCTTGAATCAGATATTTAGAAGTGTAGGAAAAAGTAAAGATTGACAATTGTAGAAAGGGGAAATAAAAGTAGTGCTGTGTGTCTGAGCCCAGAGAGTCATTTGGTAAGACTCATATTATTAACAGACATGTGCTTTTAATGAGGTCCTGTGAATGTCAACCAAATACTTCTCGGTGATGGTAAATGATAATCTGGTTTGTTGGGGGTTTAAAACACTTTACAGTTCATTGCCTTTGGTTCTTGCAGAAGAGTACCTAGCTCCAGGGGCTGACTTGAAAACCTTTCCTTTCAAGTACTTGAGATGCCAGGGGAGAAAACCATTTTTGTTAATGAAATGTTTGTTTTGTTAATGTTGTGTTAAGCAGAACTTGACTAAAATCAATATATACACTAGACCGGCTCTAAAAAAATAATTCTTTTTGTATGGGGAATGACAGTGACTATTTTTTCCCCCAGAGATTAACATTTTTGAAGTTGGAGCACCATTCTGTTTGTGTTCAGCATCTGGGACTTCACCAATGTTAAGAAGCAAGAAACCAATTGGCTGAATATATTCTGTTTCCTAGACTTCCTCCATCTTCTCCATCTGTCCCACAGTGATGGTTTGGGGTGGAGGTAGGGGGTGGTTCTCGTAGGATGAAACTGTGTGAGTGCTAATCCTGCAAGCCCTGCCTAGTAGGTGACCTGATTCTCTTTCCCTCCCCTCAGCTCTATGAGAGTGCCCTGTCTGAAAACCAAAAACTGAAAACAAAACTTCAGGAGGCCCAGCTAGAGCTAGCAGATATAAAGTCCAAGCTTGAGAAGATGGCCCAGGTAAGAGAGAAGAGGAAAAAGGCTGGGTGGCAGGGTGAGTGTGAGGAGGCAAAGTAACTTGGGGTCTTAGAGAGGGGAAATGACATGGAATTAAGATTGGCCCTCCTCAGAGACAGGAAGACAGAAGCCCCTGAGATTCTCATCTGATTTCAGGGTTCAATTGGCATTTAACTTAAGACGGAAAACTGATAGTTCAGTGAACAAGTCCTAACAGCCTGAATGCTAATAATTAATATTATGGATTATCTACTTATTTCTTAGTAAAATGGTATTAACCAGCATCATAAGATTAGTCCTAGACAGTGTCTCCTGTCTTGATCATCATGTTTCAGTTCAGTTTATCTACAGTCACCTCCTAGAGAGGGATAAGCAAGACACCATTAAACCCAGTGCAGAGAGGTAGCAAATTAGGCCTAGATTTATAAGTGGTTTGCCTGGGTCATATAAGAAATCAAGGACAGGGGCGCCTGGGTGGCTCAGTCCGTTAAGCATCTGACTCAATTTCGGCTCAGGTCATGATCTCAGGATTGTGAGATAGAGCCCTGAGTTGGGCTCCACGCTGGGCATGGAGCCTGCTTAAGATTTTCTCTCTCCTTCTCCTTCTGCCCCTCACGCTCTCTTGTGCGCTCTCTCTCTCTCTCAAAAAGAAAGAAAGAAATCAAGGACAAAGGTGTTAGAATGTACAGTCAGGTCCCAAAGCAAAGATTCTGTCCTGCAGCATATGTTACCTCCTCAAGCCGCCACTGTTTTTCAGCCTAGAAATAAGGAATGTTAGCGGCAAACAGACCAGATAAACCATTTCCTTTTACTGCCAGGCCTGATTTAATTAGGTGACGCTTTAGAGGATACTAGAGGCAATAACCTCATCACCAGTGAGACAAACACTGCAGCTGAAAGCCGAAGCAGGTGCTGTCTTGGGTTATTGCTGAGTTAACAGGAAACCTATTGAGTTATTGCCCTCCTGGAATGCCCAGTGACTAAGAATTTTGAAAGCTGAACTGAGGTAAACATGACTCTTCACTGGGAAGGCATAAATGAAAACCAGAGATGGCTAGTTGTTCTGGCCATATGATATAATCCAAAAGCAAAGCCTAACACGCTAGGATTGTCCAGTACTGAATACATGGGGCTTGGGGGGCAGGGGTGGTCAAATACCTCTGAACATCTTGCAGCAACCCCTCTGGAATGGGATGGGCCAACACGTGGAAGACAGCAGGACAGACTGCGTGGGATTTCAGCAGGACAGCCAGGACACCCGCATTCTCTAGGGAAGGGCTCGGTCAGGTGCACAGGGGATGGCCTGGCCTGTGCCTGTCCGTTTGGAAGAGGCCCCCCTCCGCCTGGTTGGAGTAGCTGAACGTGGCTCTTCTGCTGGGGATCTGTAAGGCGCAGATGACAGCTGAGCATGGAGTGATTCAGTGCGACAGGAAAAGTGGGTCTCAGCCCAGGAGAGCACACGCACACACGTGCACGCACACACGCACGGCACGGGTAGAACTAAACAAACCTCAAGGGCTCTGCCGGCCCCAACCTGACTGAGCCAGGTGGAGTGTCTCGTTCACCGCACACCCGCAGAAGATCCCTGAGGCCGACTTTTATTCTGAGGAGTGCCACGAACTGACAGTGATTAATTAATACAGATCTGCTGCTGCTTCTCATCAGGAATTACTGGGGCTATTTTACAGAAAATTGGGGAGCAGTCATGTGAGGAACCACAGGAAGACCCAATTTTACCTGCTCCCCCACTCTCTCCAGAAGCGCTCTTCTGACAGCACATTTCTTGACCTTGAGGGGTTCTTGGCTTTTCCACCAGCTTGTGCTTTGGAGCAGTGAGCAGGCTAACAAGCTGCTGACATTGACTTGCACAGAGGACACTGGAAATAAAATCAGCCTTGCACTGCGGAAGGGTTTACTGTCTAGCCAACTGCTTTGCTGGGTGTGTCGGAATATACTTCGTTTTGCCAAATACTGGTGACTAAAAATTAGGAGAAACGGCAGTGCTACACACCGGTTCTCTGCTGTTTACCCCAAGTGGAGCTGTCGGGCAGGGCAGAGAGGAGGAGGGCCCGTCAGCCGCACACGTTGTAGGGAGCCCCTTACCACATGGACACACACGACGTCTTACGTAAAAGGTCCACCCTAACCCTAAGGGGGTTAAGATTTAAAAAACAAGTCAAAACTAGTTCTGTGTAGAAGTGAACTGGTTAAGGTCACTCTGTAGAAGTGACAGCTTCTGTGCTTCTCAGGCTGACCAGGATAGAAACAAGCGCCAGGATCTACTTCTGCCTTTTTTCTTTTCCTTCAGCTTCATAGTAGATTCAGTGAAAGGCAGATGGCCCTGACCTTCAGAACAGAAGGTGAAAGCCCAGGACAGGAGCCAGAAATCAGAGTTTTACTGTTAGTTCTAGCTATTCCTTAATATTCTGAAGAAAGAAACGTCTGCTAGAAGACCAGTATACTTTCTATATTTATTAAAGGTTGCTTGTGCATGGTACTAGGCAAAATAAAAATAATCACCCTGTATTTATTAAATGTAGTCTATTAAATGTAAGAAATTTTACAGTGCTAAGGCCAAAAGGAACTTAAGGTTCAGTTCCATTCCCTGTCTAAGAGTCACTACCTGAAGTAATTCTACTTGTTAGCTCTGGTGGCTAAATTTTTTTGGTCCTTCTGTGACATTTATAGCAAAAGTCAAAGATGTTCTAAAAGAAAGTTCTAATCTTTTGTTCAGGTTAAATCTTACCTCACCTGGAAGCTCAGTATACAAAAGAGATAAAAGGGGAACTGTTCAGTTCAAAGCAGGGCAGATAGCACGAGTGAGCTCCTGAGAAGCCCTGGAACCTACCCACACAGGCAAACCACTGCTTTAAAAGAGAAACGGCATCAGTGCCCAAAGCAGAAAGAATGAGTGCAAAGGGATTGCTTAGAAGAGTGCCAGAGACTTAGACCTTCAAGTTCCTGAGTCTCTAGCTTTTAAAGAAGAAAAGCCACTTTTCATTTCCTCTGGGTTGTGAGATTACTCACAGACCAGGAGAAGGGAGGGGTGGTGAGGCATAAGAAGATAGTTGGCGTTGAAGAGCTAGCAGGGGTTTGTGTGTGTGTTGTGGGAATGTCTTTGCACTTGTGACTGTGCTAAACTTCAAGAAACACCACTACTGCCTTCTACTCCCCAATGGGAATCCTGCAAACTTCAGAGAGGGAATCATGTCAGGCTTAGAGATCTGTCAGAATCTGTTTGCTAGGGGCCTCTGCCGCAGTGAGAGCCCAAAGCCCTGACATCTATTTCTGGGTGTCTGACGGTGAAGCTGAACCAGACCGGGCTTCCTAGTGACCCTCAGACAACCCAAGTGACTGTTGTTTCTCTTCAATTTGCACTAGCAGAAACAAGAGAAGACCTCTGACCGATCATCAATGCTGGAGATGGAGAAACGGGTATGTGTGTGTTTCTTTCCCCCCTCTGTTTCATCTGAGTTTCTCTGACTTTGTTGTTCACGCCAGTGGAAAAAGTTCGTCTTCAGAAGGCGGGAGTTCTGCCACATTCCATTCCCAGCTTGATAATAAATTCTTTTTGTGTGACTCTGGACAGCAGTTTGATTGCTAGTCCTTTTGGCTTCTTCAGATGCTCAGTACTTTTCACTTATTCCAGTCTTAGGGTGGGAAGGGTCCTTGGAAGGTCATCCCGTGCACTGGTTTGGCCTATAGGCAGAACTGCACACACACACATACCTACAGTATATTTTGGTTTACTGTAAATCAGCACACACGTACACACCCACGACCAAGGTCTCTTTACCCTTCCCGTCACCTTGAACAGAAAGGAAGTTTTCAGCAGGACCCTCTGCCATTGATTTAGGTCTTCTGACTTGAAATATGAGCCAGCAGAATCTTTCCCTCACTCTGACTGGGGGTGGGGAGGGGGCGTTCCAGTTCAATTGCTGACCTCCTCCTGACTGCATTCAGAATATTTTTCTAGGATTTGACATTCTTGGATTGGGAAAACTCAGATTTATTGATGAACCCTCGCTGTGATTTGACCCTAGGGGTATAATATGTTCCCATCTCTCCTGTTTAATTTGGAAAGCAGCAAAGTTTTACATTTTATTTCCTTGGCCTGTAACAAAAACCCGGTATCTCATCTAATCTAAGAATCTCTAGAGTTCAGGCTAAATCAGGAGTGGGTGGCTGGGAGAGAGATGGGTTCGGGGGAAGGGTGCTGTTTCTTCCCAGACAATGAAGGCTACTTCCCCACTCACCATCTGCTCCCCATCCTGGGAGAAGCAGCCCCTCAGGAATTTGAGGGGAGTATTCCTGAAGATAAGGATGCCTTTTATTAATAGAGAGCAGGGGCCCTGGTCACTTGGAGTCATTCGAAATATTCCATGAGATCTTCAGCTTACACAGAATAGCCAGAGTACCCTGCTGCTGCCATTTGTTTAACTTCTAATATTCTGATGGGAGATTGAGGTCCTGTGATTTCTCTCAGTGAAGTAGTGTCATCCCACGGATCAGATAGTGCTTAGTCTCCTGCATGAGGTTTGCCTGAGAGGTGGCGCTGCTGATCACACGTCAACCGGGAGGCAGCATTTTGACTCCCTTCTAAACCCAGTAGATGTTCAACAGTCTCCTTGTTTCTCAACAGGAGAAGCGAGCCTTGGAGCGGAAAATGTCAGAGATGGAGGAGGAGATGAAGGTATGGAAAGATCTCCCTTCTCTCTTTGTGTGCCTGTTCCCCAAATGCCTGCCAGGACTGGGTGATTGAGCCTAGGCCCACCCCTCCAGATTTCACCACACACTCCACCCCCTCAAGAAGAAAGGCTGTGTGAAGAGGAGCCGAGCATCCCTCCTCAGCCATTTCATAGGCCCTCTCAGATCACACAGCATCCCCTCTGGGCACCTTGCAGCCCTTCTGGGAACCAGTGCTGCCTCTGGTTTAAGTGGGGGGAGAGGGGAGGCATCTGCAGACTGGAGACAAACCTAAGTTGAACTTCTAAGATTTTCCAAGCAGTAGTTTCACCCTCAGGGGCTGGATGGAAACCCTAAAACAAGGGTCCCAGCTCTGCAGGCCTCACATGAGGTGCCTGGGGAAGCCTGAATGCGACCAGAGACTTTCCTGCCTGGTGCGCCTCCCTGTCTCAGCCCTTCACTGGAAGGAAAACAGTTTGAGTCATTCTGCAGCAGAATGCAGATTAATTCACACATCGATTCCCTGCCCCAGCCCACTTCACCTGAAATACTCAGTAATATTCGGTACTCGCCACTAGAATCAGCTCATGCCACCAGTTACACCTCACGGCTCACTGCTTTCCTCTCTCCCTTCACCATGCCCTGCAATGACCAGCATCTCCATTAGCCACTTTAATGAACAACTGCCATCCTAGGCAGCAGCTTTGAGTGCTGAGAACTGGCAGTCGACCCAGAAGAGTCAATTCCCTGCTGTGGAAGAGGCCTGCAGAGCAGTAGGGAACATAGAGCTGCTCGGGGTAGCCACCTGGGGATGATGTGGAGCATCTGAGCCCTGCAAGTGCATGATGCCACATGCCCATAATCACCTAGCACTTGCTCAGCTTCAGACTTTTTTTTTCCTTCAAGGATCTTATTTTACCAGATGTATGATACAAAGCATTCATCTGGTGAAACTCTGGTTTCTTTACCTGCAAACCAGAAGCACTGGGGTAGAGGCAGATCTCCAGGGCTCTTGCTCTGAACAAGCATCCCTAATATGCAATTAGAGCACTTTAGGAGAGACATTTATTATTACAATGGCAAAAAAAATATATAGTTATTTACTTAAAAAAAACTTCTCAGGACCTGACAAGGTCCAAGTTTACACAAGATCCAGTGCTCATAGTCCTGTTACTCTTTATATAATTCCAGAATGAGGGAGATGTGCCCTGCCCTTGAGTTCTATAGTCACCATTCCAAGGCCGTAACTGATCGCATTCATATAGAATTTCAAGCAATACCTACTTATATCTCCAAAAAGTGGCACTTATATCTTTCAAGTTGATGTAAAACAGCAAGCGTAGAAATAATTAATGGTTGATTCTTCTACGATAAAAACAGGATGACCCAACACCCTTAGCTTCTCCATCTTCTGGTTTTTCCAGATCCACCTCACCTACCGCACAGAAGTATTTTCTATCATTTAGAGAAGTATGTTAGTAGAGCTAAACAGTTCTTGATGAATGAATATCCACAGCTCTTGGTTGCACTGGGGGCTCCTCCATTTCTGAAACCCCTTGAGTGATACCATCTGTACTCTGCTGTTAGGCAGCTGTCAGTGATGCTCCTTAAGGAATAGCCTAAATGCTGATCAGGAGCATGTAAATGAGGCCAAAGCTGGTGCCTTCTAATGAGTACCCAGGAGCTCAAAGCCAGCCCAGACCCACTAGTCATGGAACTCTGCACCACGTCTGCCCAGGCCCTCACACAAAGACCCAGAAAGTCTCCAAGTGGAGCAGTTGAGGTCCTTCTTTATTTCCATTCCAATCCTAAATTGCCAGGCATGAGAGCCCCTTCATTGGTTCCAGTTGCTCTCAGTTCTATGGTTTGAGACAGGCTTACATATTTCTTTTTCCCTATCCTGCCAGGCTAGGATTTCCTAAACTAGGTCATGAGTTCCTTTCTTTCCTCGGTAGAGATCATAATACATGAAGGTGTTTGCTTCCCTCAGCCTTAAGTCGTTTGCCAGCCAACTTCAAATGTTTAAATTATCAAATGGAGCCAGATCCTGGCTGTTTAGACCTCAAAAAATAGATACACCAATTTGAAACTGTTTTTTGTTGTTTTTATTTTCGTTAAAAAACGGACGCAGTCAGTTGCCATTATTTTCCATTACCAATTGCAAAGCCATTTGGAGAAGAAACACCTGCAAGTTCTAAAGCCCCTAAACACCCTTTGCTCAGATAAAGCCCAATACCAGGTTCAGGAATCATCCAGCTCCCCCTAGAGGACAAAGGGGGAGGAACATACAAACTCGTAGCCAACGCCAACTTCATTTGTGTCTGTACCTTGAGATAGGCAAAAACTTCAGATATCATAAAATTGATCTCACTGGCCTTCAAGGAGTCTAAGAAGCTGCTCATGTAGCTTTCAAGGCCTTCTTCATCCAGGCTACAGTTTGTGGTAATCAACATCTTGGGAATGATCAGTGGTCAAAATCTCTGTTCTAGGCAGCCAGTCCACTGCACAGGTAACTGTCTTATCGAATCTGGGACCCAGTAGAACTAAGGGCCAGTTAGCCCCCGTGCCTGCTGCATATTTGGTTTATACAGATGCTCAAACCTCTTGGAGCAATCAGTAGGGAGCAGGTTGAAGTTTGACCTCCAGTGAACTCCGAAGATCCAGTAGGTGCTCAAGGACAGAAAGTGACTCTGGTGCCTGTTTTTCTGAGTCTGGCAAATAAAGTGCAAAGGTCAGATGAAATGGGGAACCCTGAGATGGGCTCGCCCAGATGTACGTGGGGCCCTGTGCTTGTGACATGGGTTGTGTCTTTCTGGCCTTACAAGAAAGGTAAGTAGGGGCGCCTGGGTGGCTCAGTCGTTAAGTGTCTGCTTTTGGCTCAGGTCATGATCCAGGGTCCTGGGATCGAGCCCCGCATCGGGCTCCCCGCTCTGCGGGAAGCCTGCTTCTCCCTCTCCTACTCCCCCTGCCTGTGTTCCCTCTCTCGCTGTATCTCTCTCTGTCAAATAAATAAAATCTTTAAAAAAAAAAAAAAAAAGAAAGGTAAGTATTTATGAGTTCTCCCCAGGACAGACTGCACTCAGATCCTGGATTGGAGTAGGATGGTGTGCCAGCCTCTGACAGGCATGCATGTCAGCGTGAGCTGTGTGAGGCTGCACTGGGTCTTGCCCCCATCAGACCTGATGACGTTCCTACTGCATCCTCCATTCAGCATTGGCCTCCTTCCCAGACCTTCTTCCTGCCTCTCCCAGGTCCTTGCATGAGGGGCCCAGCAGGCACTCCCCTTTTAGATTGCTCTTGGAATTTTTATTTTTACTTACTCTGGAAATACCACTAGCTGATCCTGCCCTTGCCCACCCTGCTCTGTGCCCTGCCCTCCCCTCCATCTTGCTGTGCCTTGTTTTCAGTACTATTTCCTATGGAACATTCCACCAGATTGTTTCCTGCCTCTCTCCCTCATGCTCATAACTTCCAAATTCTTCCACCTCGATCTGCTTGTGCTCACATGTTAGATTGAATCATTTTCATAGTTCGTGTCTTTAATATTACTCCCTAGGAGGCAAGGACCACTTTGTATAATGACAATGATTATGTTGAAAGCTTTGGTCCAATGTCAACTCCAAAGAAGGGTGAGAGCCAGGGACTTTCCATTGGTTCTTATGCTTGGTCCCTGCCCATTTCTTTAAATATTTCCATATGCTGCACCATGATCTCCTCTGATCTCAGTCCTCTCCATGGCCGAGATGCTTGCAGAGGGTAAGGAGCATTGCCTGGTCCTTACCCTTCAATGGCTACATGGAAGTGTTGGGCTGCTCTGCCTTTTTTCCAAGGTGCTCATTCTCCCTCTTTGGGGAAAGAGATATTCAGCAGTTTGTCTCTGCTTGTTTTTCCTTTTCACTGTTTTTTCCCCTTCATGCTGCCTTTCATTTTCTTGCTTCTTCGCTTCCAACTATAACTCCACTAATCCTTCATTTCTGTCCCTCACATCCATGTGGGTATGAGAGACTTTCTGGTTTGTCATCACTGTAATCCGCAGGATTTTTCATCTTCCTCTCTGAAGCCCCATTTACATAATAAAATCCTTTTCCTCCTCCCAGAGAGCTCGGTTATAGGTCAGTACAGACGACTACTTAGGCAAGGATAGTAACCGTAAGCAGACCTGTGATATAATGCCATTTATTGAAGTCTTTAGGTCCTTTATGGGCTATGAGGTATTAGGAAGAATATCTGTGGACTGGTTATTCTGTCCCATTTGTAACACTTAACAAATAGTGAGGTCTGAACTAGTAAATCAGCCCAACCAGTTCCATTATCTTGGACATTTATGATTTCTCCAACTGTTGTGCACAGCTGTAATTTTCATAGTATGAGTCTGTATGTGAACACCTCCAGGCAGCTGCCCGCCTCTTTATGAGCTGGGACAAAGAGAGCACAGTTAGCTGTGAATTTCATGATGCAGTTGGTCCTATAGCAGGTCAAGGGCAGGTTAGCAGTTCTTGGATCCTGGAACAAGCATCTGGACTGCGGTGGAGAACTAGCAGGGTTAATGAAGCATCCTACAAAACAGGTTAGAGGACCGTGCAGACAACTGCCAGTCTCTGATCTTGTATGTGCCCCTTCAACATTCTAAACAGTACATGCCTCATACAGAAGATACTTAAACAACAGGCCCCTCGTTTATTTTCCTTGTTTCACTTTTTTAAAATATGAAGTAAGAGAAGGACCCAGAAAAAAAAAACAATTAGGAGTAGGGGGCCAAGTATGGTGCAAGATGAGAGGAGGGAGAGAGAAAAGGGCCTTAGCTGGATTTAGGAACACACAGAGTCCTCAACTCCAGGACCCATTGATGATGAAGAAGGCCCCTGAGGCTATGGCTCAACTATGCTAAATCAGTTCAGAAGGCCCCAAGCCACACAGTGGGCTGTCATTCTCAAAAGCGATCCACATGTGCTATTTGAGAGTGTGGTGGTTGTATTCACATGGCTGACCTGCAGCATAGTTAGACCTTAGCCAAGAATCGTAGGCCCGGCTCTCCCCCTCGTTGGTGCTTTTCTCCCTTCTCCCTCCCCTCATCCTGCACCATTACTCCTGCCTTTCTCATTTCCTTTCTTGCATGCCAACTAAAAACAAAAACAAAAAATCACGTGATTTCTTTGTCCTACTTTTATCTCTTCTGGTCTGTCTTGTCTCTCTCTCTCTTGTCTGTATGTCCCCTCCATGTTTCACTCTCTACAGAACCTCCACCAGCTAAAACAGATTCAAACCTTGAAGCAGATGAACGAGCAACTGCAGGCTGAGAACAGGGCCCTGACCCGAGTTGTGGCCAGACTCTCGGAGTCCGTCGAGTCCTCGGAAACCCAGGAACTCTAGTTCTTGCCCCTCTTCTCCACCTCACTTCCCTCCTCCACCACTCCAGGCATGTTCACTCTTCTTGTCGGACCCAGAAGCCCTGTGCTCATGCCCCTCCATCAGAGCCACAGTATGTGGGTGCCTATAAATGTCGGTCATCTGCAAATGGAAAGAGCCAGGACTGAGACCACAGAGTGAGACATAACAGCCTAGGTCAAGGGAGGCAGTGGGGGAGTCCTTGCCTGGGCTGGTGGTCTATTTGGTAAGATCACCACATCACCTTCTCCTCCCCTGGAGGCCAAATATGGATTTGCCCACTTGGCTACACATAGTTGTACATAGACGTACGCATGCACCTGTGGATGTGCAAATTTCTTTGGTGGCGTCATTGCCAAACTGAGATTGAGCTTTCTCAGTCAGCAGCAACCCAAGTACAACCTGGTTGCTGGAGCAGTTGGGGCTGGTCCTGGACTCCAAATTGTTGTTGGGCCTGGGGTAACCAAGGGCAGGGGTTCTCAACCCTGGCTGGGAGCTTTTAATGTATATAATGCTTGGGCCTACCCCATCCCCCAACCCCCCAAATCAGTAGTCTGAGCTGAGACCCAGGCATCAATATTTTTTCAGACTTCCCCTGTCGATTCTTTTGTGAAACCAGGGTTGAAAATGGCCCTTTGCACACCAGACAGAACTAAGTCTTCCACACCTGACAGCATGCTAGATGGGGACGACTAGCGCTGAATGCTAGAGCTCCCCCACCAGCACCAACACTGTCCATCCCACCATTTGAGTAGAATTTGGCTATTCTCTGCCTCCCTTCTGCAATTGTCTTTGCATCCTTCCCCCTCCTTGGGAGGCATCACTCTCATCCCTGTCACAAATCTCTGGGCCCTAGGGATGTGCCCCCTCACCCCCACCCCTAGCCAGTGTGTGGGCTGTGAGGCAGAACAGAGCCTGGATAAATGAGACCCTCACACATTAGGGAAGCCAGACCTTCCCTAACGGGGCTAGCTTTGCAAAGGAGATGACAGTCATTGGAGCAGAGAGCAGGGATTTATTCTCAACTGAGAACTGAAAAATATGGTTGGTAAACTGGAGCCTTTCCCTGGATGTAGGTCTGCAAGACAAGCTCATAGATAAATTGTTTTCCCATCCCACAGTAGTGTGATGGGGTCACCATTGCTGAGCAGGTTCACTCTCTGAAATGAGTTTTTAATTTCCAGCAACAATCTTAATTAGTCCTGACCAATGCCTGTTCTTTTCTCTGCCTCTTTGCTTGTGCCTTCAGGATCAGTAGCTGGCAACTAATGCCCGCTAGATCTGAAGTGCCCAGATCACTGTAAGGGCTGAGCTGATACCCTGCTGTAGATGCTGTCACACAGAGAAGGGAGATTAAAAGGGAAGCGGTACCACAGCCTGGCACCAAGCAGCTTCGTTACCCCACTGCTCGAGTGCCGTGTTAGGTCCAAACCCCATGCTTTACAGTAAGCCTCAGGGTTACTGGAAAATTTGACAGGGGTGAACTAGGGACCCACAAAAGATGTCCCAGTTATTTTTCGTTTCCCTCTTTGTGCAAGATAGTATAGGATATAGAGCAAAACTAGATCTTGTGCTTTCGGTAGTTGGTAACTAAGGTCACGGTTGTCATTTATTAAGGCCTGTGCACAGTACCGTATATGCTTTTTCTCACCTATTGCCCAGAGCAATCATTTAACATATGGGAAAAATTAAGATTAAGTAACCTGTCCAAGGTCATTCAGAGAGTAAGTGGTAGAACCAAAATTCAAACCAAATATGTCAGGTTCCAGAGCCCAAGCACTCAGCCACTGTGATATTAGCTGCCTGCATATTTGGCACAGAGTTTCAGCCATTTGTTAAGCATATGGCCTAAATGGGTGCAAGAAGAACCTATTGAACGACAACAGTGTGCCCCCACCATTGCAGCTGAGGGATGAAGGACGGCATTCTGCTTTCTCCGAACTCTTGATTTCCCAAACAGCCATTTACCTACCAAAAGATTGCCCCTGTAAAGAAACCATTGCATAGCATATGACCTGCTGTAATAGATCAGCAACCTGTGGCCCGTCAGTATGGCCCATGAGCCATACAAATAGTTGGGGGGGAAAAATCAAAAGAAGAATATTTTGTGACACATGAAAATATATGGAATCAAATCTTGATGTCCAAAAATAAAGTTTTATTGGAACTGAGCCATGCTCATTTGTTTACATACTATCATTATGTTCCTAAGTACTTTTATGCCACAAGAACAGAGTCGATTAGTTGGAACAGAGACCACATGGCTTGATATTTATTATCTGGCCCTTTACAGAAAATGCCAACCCCTACCAGAAGGAAAGATGCGATAACTAAGCCAAACTGACAGTGTGGCCAAGAGAGTTTGCCCTGCCTTTTTGTTTTTGTCTTGTTTTTAAATAATCCCCTAGAGAAATCATCTTATCTCAGTGTGTCGTGCAACCCACTTCCAACAGAATATATAAGCAGTGGGACCCCCTCCCCACTTCCCAAGTAGTCAGAAGCAAAGCAGCCTAGGCAAGACTCATCCTGAGCCCCCGTCACCCTGCGGCTGGCCTTATCCTTCCCGGGTCTCCACAGCTTCAAGACCCTCAGATTCTCTCCCTCTTCAACACATTCCTCATCAAAGGCTGGACGAAGTCATGTTTGGGAAAACATGCACTTAAATTTTATTTGTCCAAGATACCTTAACATCACACTGTGGTGAACTGGAAATTTAGAAGTTAAGAAAGCTGACCTCCAGGGGGTTGAAATGATAAAGCTTTGTTAAACCTCATACTTCTGTAGTGCTTCCACATGTGTTCTTATTTAATCATTCTTTAACTTGAAGTGAATATCAGATAACACTGTTCATTTCCTCCTCTCTCTTTTGAGAGTCAAGTTTATGAGACTGTTTCCCCCCTTGATTTCTACATTCCACTTCTTGTACTTTTTGACACTCCCTTAAGATGTCAGTTGTAGTATATTGCGGCTGGGAAATTGCCTTGTCCAATTTTTTTTTTCTTCAAAGAATTGAGTTCTTAATGTGGAAATAAATCATCAAAGCTCAACGAGTTGTTTGTACATTTAAAAATCAGTTCTGATTTGATGAGCTGCTTGCCTAGAAATAAAATCCAATGACATAGATAGTTTCTTCCCTGCCTATGGAATCCTATTACAGAACTACAATGTTCAGAGTCTCACTGATACCCAGGCTGGCTGTGGGACCCAGCATGGGGCAGTGGAGAGCAGATGGGACGGTGAAGCACTGCGGGGCCATCCTGGCTGACTTTCTAAAAATCTTCTTGGACTGAGTTTCTGAGCGCACACTTCTGGTAGTCAAGGCCACGGGGATAGAGGCACGAAAGAGAGCAGCCAGAACAGCTTTGATTAGGTTGGAGGTAGGAGAGGCAGGATTAAAGGACCAAAACTTTATTTTGATACTATCTGGATTAAAATCTTTTTAGTAAAATTTGTAGATTACCTACTCGCCATCCCACATTCATGGGAGAACTCACAGTAGTCGTGAGAATCCTGAGTATTGCAGAGCATATTATATACGTCATCACACTTCCACATCCGGTACCTCCTGGGGCCTCACAGAGTCCCGACTTGATGAGCGACCAGGGCAGAGATGATGATTCTTCTTTAGATACAAAAATGGAAGCCCAGACAAATTGAGTGATTTGCTTAAAGTAATAGAGATCGTTCATGACAATGACAGTGCTGAGATTCTGGACTTCTTTTTTTTTTTTCCAGCCCCACACAACCTCTGTTGTATCAGGCACACATGGGCTCAATATCAGCTTTGCCATTTAATAGCTGGGTACTTTGGACTGGTTATGAAAGTCCTCATTTCCTCATTTGTAAACATAAGGATAACAACTGTTTCACAGACTCATGAGGTGCTAATGAGACCATGGGAGTGAGAACTTCTAATACAGCGCCTTCCACAGTATGGATGTTCAAGACTATTTTCTTTTTGTTCCCTTAGTACAAATCCCTTATGTCTCTGTGATGCATATATGTGTGTATACACATATATATTTGTATAATCTACATCCTCCATAAGAGATTAAGGAAACAAAAATTTTGTTCTTAAGGTGCAGTTAGATCCCACAAGGGGTTAATAGCAGAGCTGGAACCAGAATTAAACAGGCCTCGTGACCTCCGAGCCCAGGCCATCCTTTAATGGCGACCTCACCTGCTGTTAGAGTCCTGTAGGTTTGATGACTAAAAAAATCAAAGAACGTTTGCATTGAAGAGATGAGATTTCTGTAGCCTTCATGGTGAAGATGTACTTTCCCTCTAACCTAAGTCTCCCTAAACTGCCAGCAGGGCCCACACAAACTGTCCCCTCAGCAACGTCCCATCATGGTTTTTTAGATGCACAGCACACCGGTCAGTGTGCCTGTTCGCATATAAAGACTTGGCTATCCGGACTAGGGCTTGGGCTGCCGGTTTTCCCTTGTTTGCATGTTGACCAGCACTATGTGTCGTGTTCCAAGATGGCAGAACTGATAGAATTGAAATCTCTATTCCCCCATTCCCCAAAGCACCTATTTCCTGGATCTGTAACACTATCCCCTAAAACTGCTGCTAAGGCCCCCTAGTATCCCATGATAGCTACCCACAGGGAGCTCGGGGTGAGAATTAAATACATGCCTAGTGCTCACTGTGCGTCACAGCCATGCAGTGACCGAATCCATAAACTCCTTGGGTTTTAGTGGTTGAAAGTGGATATGTGTAGTATGACCAGCAGGAATTTAGGTGGATTTTATCACAGAACGCACTAGGAGGATCTTAAATCATCTTGTGGGTGTGACAGCCGAGTTGTGGCACTTTCCCCTGCATTCCTGTTTTTGATGGGATGTGAAGCAGTGTCTGTCCTTAACTCTTTTAGTTGACCCAGTACTGCTTTCTCAGTTTCTCCTCTGTGACCTCACCAGCTCACTTTGGCACTCTCCTTAATTTCTCCAGACTAGAAGTGAGTTCAAGGGCTGGAACAATTATAAACAGTTACTGACTTAGGAGGATGAAAGGATACATGGTGTGGAACGTGAAATAAGACGTTATTGCTAAATATGCTCGTTCAAAAGATGGAGGTGCTGTGGTCTCCCTAAATATGAACATTACCAACTCAACAAATAGGAAGAGTCAGGGGACTTTCATCCCTGAGAGAAAGGGTAGTGACAGTCCACTGCATAAGCTGCCTCAGAACGCCTTGCTCATGGGCTGGCCTGGCCTGGCCTAGTCAGGGAGGGTAAGGAGGTGATGATGCTAAGCTCTAACACACCTTTCCCTCTGTCACCCTACAGGTGTTAACAGAACTGAAATCCGACAACCAGAGGCTGAAAGATGAAAACGGTGCCCTCATCAGAGTCATCAGCAAACTATCCAAATAGACTAGGCTCCCGATTTAGGAGGGAAAGGGCAGGATTTGCTGCCCCCACCCCTCTTCTGCAGCCATTGCCTTCCAACCAAAAGAAGTGACTGTTTTGGTGGAAGGATAACGTCTTTCTGACCCTCCTCCGGTCACCTCCTCTGCACTGTACATTTCCTCTGCACTCTCAGTGCCCTGTTCCTCCCATGCCCCCCACCCCCTGAGTTTTATGACAGTTTTAATTGAAGCATGATTGTGATCATTTGAGCCATCTGGAGAAGGCCTTGGGGAGTACACCAGGCTCAGCTGTGGACCCCAGCTTCCTGCTGCTCAGCTACTTGTCCACATTGGATTTGGTCCAAACATGTAAGGCCTCTAGCCAGACCAGTACCCCACAGCCTTTTCCACTGACCCAGTGTCCTCTGATATAGGTGAATCTTACGGTGGCCATTCCAGGATCCTGTCTGGGATGCCAAGAGAAACAGGATGTTGGCATAATCATCGGACAGCCTCTAGAGCTGTGTTTCCATTAGATTCCAAGGTGACAATGACTCTGCATTGAAGGTCTCTGCTAGTCTGCACCTCTCAGGAACTGACTTTTCTCTGACTCCTTGCTGGTGTTACTGTTACTTTTTCTATCAACAACCCAGTAACATCCCTGATTAGTCTTAATTCCTATTCTTCCTTCATGCCTGGCCCCCTTCCCCGGGGCTCAGATGACCCTGGCTTCCTTTATTCCTTTCCTTTCTATCCTTCTATTTTCCTTTCTGTCTCCCCTTCACCACCTTACCACATGGTGTAAAAGCTAGAACAGAGCATCTGACCTCACTTGTCTTTGGCCATTATGGAAAATCATTTCTCCTGGGGCGCTCTGGAGACCAGAAGAATTGCCTTGGCGGCACCACGGGTCCTCTTGCTGAAAAGCCAGACCCTGGCATAAGTGCCAGCCCCCTGTTCTCACCTCCCACTTGTTTTCCCTACACAGTGATTTTCTTTATTAGAAAATCTGGGCTCTGAACACCCCATTCTGCCTCACCTCCTTTTGACCTTGTTTTCCTCTCTTCACTCTGGCACCTGCTCCTAATGAGAAAGGAAGTCCTTGTAAGGAGGCATGAGAGCTGGGGAGGGTGGATGGGTGGGAGGCGGACCAGGGAGTGGAAGCAGGTCGGAAAGACATATATGGTGTAAGTAGAGTATCTGGGGACACTCGCAACCTTGTGACAAAGAAGATAGAAGATAGATCGTGCTGTGGTAATGGTGGTGAATGTGATTATTTCTGGTGGCTAGATTTAGGGGAGAGACATCTGTTTTCTTAGAAGCCAACAGGAGAAATGACTTCTTGTTAGAGGTTTGAAGTGATGAGATCCTCCCAACCCATTGATGAGAGTCACGGAATCTTAGAGTGGCAAAGCCCAGAGGTCATTTGGTTGAGCTTTCTGTTGTCACATCACAGGGACCCCCACCTGCACCCTACTGCCCCAGCTCTGACCCACAGTCAGGTAGCCGTGCATTTATTCCTCGAAAGGTGGGCGACTCTAATAAGCAGAAAGCTTTTACTAAGGTGAGTCAGGGTCTGCCCCTGGGTGCTCCACACGGTCCAGAGTGCCCTTTGATGTGACAGCCCCTTGTGTAGTTGGTCACCTCCCCTTAACCTTACTTCCAACTGGCGTTTTCCCGGTCCTTTAAGGCATTCCTCACATAGCATACTTCTCCTGCATGTCACATCTCGTCTGTCCTCGTCTGGACAAAAACAACCTTTTAAAATATCATGCCCAAACCTGGACAGATACTCCGTTAGCACAAAATGAAACAGTTAGTCCTTGATGATGACCCCAGAGTAATACCTAACGTATTTGGTCTTTATAGGCATTTTCTCCCTTGGTGGGTTTATTTTGAGTGTGCAGGTCGTTTAAGTCCTCCTCATTTGGCCATGGTATTCAGTGCTTAGAGTGGTCCATTCTCTTAACATATATACTACCTCTGTCCATTTTTTAATCTCTTTCCCGAAAATGACAATGTAGTTCTCCATGGCCCTCTGAAACATTACATGCTCTTTAAACCAGAGTTTATCATTCAAGAGCCTAATTCCAGAATAGGAAATATGTCTCCCCTAGCAAGACCCCATTTTTAGAATATCCAAAATTCTCTCTTCCGTTTCCAACCATTTTCCAAGAGAAGCTACTACTGATTAGGATTTTGTATGAGCATGGGAGCACTGTCAGCTCAGTTCTCAGGGAAGGCTAAATTAGAGTAAAATGTTTCCTCACTTCCACTGTAAACATCTTCTTCATTCTAGGGAGAGGGAAAATCAAAACAAGGTGTTGACTAATTGATTCTCCTGGCACATCCTGGATATTGGGCAAGGCATGGGGGTGGTTGCTGCCTCTTTCTCAGGAAAAGAAAACTGAATTATTAGGAAAACATTTGACCCTCTCCCATTAGATAGACCGGGTAAAGGGGTTACAGAGAGTTCCCTCATCTGTTTGTGCCTTTCAAAAGCGTGGGACAGCATCTATAAACTCTTAGGTTGGTGTCATGGCCTGCTGCGTCACACAGCCTTTTCACATTAAAGATGCCTTTTCTTGCCAGAAAGTTTTCCTTGTGATGAAAAATTCACAAGCTTTTCAATCTCAGGAATATTGGATTCTATGGCCAAGAAATCATGAAAGTGTAAACCATGCGAGGTAATTTCAGGCACCCTCTCTTATGCAATTAATTTTACCAGACAGATAGACCCTGAATTCTGGTCCCTTCCCGGAGAATAAAATACCCTTTCTTCACAGTTGCTTTGACTCGAAGCCCCAGGAGCGATGGTTAGAGACCTAATGACCAGCCGCACGCTCTGGGTGCCAACAGCCAGCAGGCCTCCCTCCTCTTGTGCTGTTGGTCTCTTCAGTGGCCACAGACCTCCTGTCCTCCACCTGCTGGTTCGGACTCCCAAGAGCACCCCAGATAGCTCAAGCTGCACGAGTACTGCTGGTCCGGCCAACAATTTGGGGCTCAGCTGTGCTGTGTCATTTTAGGGTCTTTACATGAAATATCAGAATGGGGATGAGAAGGTTCTCGGTACAACTTTATATCCTCTGTTCTCATTTATTTGATATTTTTCAAAGCAAGCCACACCTTTGAGAGTAATGATTCAGCCATTCCAGAGATTCTCTGGCTGAGGTTTCACTGCTTTGCCTATTTGTCTTTCAAGGGCTGCATGCTCTTTTCCAGATAGCTCTTGGGCATGATGACCCCTAGTCCCAGTCCCAGTCTCTAGTGCAACAGAGTTATGCAAACCTTGGGGTGTTGCCTCTAAAGAATCTAAAGAATAGACATGCCCTGGGTTTGTTCTGTGCGCTGAATTCTCTGTTGGGCAGTCTCACTTGATATGTCCTGGAACTTCCCTGGCTTTTTCTGTCCAACTGCAGGATGTGTTCGCTTCTCTTCTGCGCCTTCCTATCTCCCACCCCATGTTTGAGACCAGGATGTATTTATTGCTCTCTGAGGCCATGTGCTTCTCCTGCCCAAAACAAAACGTCCTTATTCGACAGTTCTGCCCAGAAACGAGAAGGCTGAAACCCCGTGTATTAGCCTGTGAATCCCACAAAAACGTGTGTGAACTACTGTTTTGATATCAAGGGCTTTTAAGTGAGCCAGGGGTGAGAGAAGAAGAAACTCTCAAAGCCACGCATTTGGTTTGGTCTCTGGATTTCTGGCCCCAGTGCAGCCTCCCCTAGCCAGACAGATAGACTGCCTCCCCTTGGACGAAGGCCGGCGTTTCCGTCCTGACCATGTTGGCAGTCCTGCAGCAGGAGAAGCATGGAGATGAGAGATGAGCTATTGACAAGATTGCCAGTTATTCAGCTTCCAGGTTGCTCTGCCCCACAAAAGGGAAAGCCTAAAGGACTCAGCAACTGAGCCACTAGGCAGGGGGAATTCCTGGTACCAACCCGCTGGGGGAGCCGCTGGTTCCCCTGGAGCGTAACACTGAGGTGACCCTACCTGGGCGCTGGCTGGGGTCCTTCCCTCCTGGCCATTCCCAGGGGCCACTGTTCGTGCTAGCGCTGCGCCTAACTCTAGACACAGAGTTAGCAGCCCCAAATCTAGGCCCAATTATAACTGCAGATCTTGGTCCCCACACTAATTTTTAAGGCAGGTTTCAACCCATCAAAGGATGTGAGTCCTCTCACCCAATAAGCAAGGCAGCCTTGAGGGCAGAAAAAGGCAAGAGGAAGGGATAAGCCCCTAGGAGTCAGAATAGCTGGGTTCTAGGGCCAGCTCTTATTAGCCACGTGACCTTGGGAAAGTCACCTTCCCTGTCTGCAGAATGCAGTTGGACTGGATTGTCCTTAAGATCCCTTCCAGGCTTACAATTTCTATTCCTAGGAAGATCAGAACATTTTTTTTTTAAGTGTAACTTTTTTTTTTTAAGATTTTATTTATTTATTAGAGAGAGAGAGCGAGAGCAGGAACACAAGCAGGGGGGAGTGGGAGAGGGAGAAGCAGGCTTCCCGGCGAGCAGGGAGCCCGATGTGGGGCTCGATCCCAGGACCCTGGGATCATGACCTGAGCCGAAGGCAGACGCTTAACGACTGAGCCACCCAGGCGCCCCAGAATATTTCTTAAAATTGGAATTTTTGCTCTTGTTTTCTTCTGAATTCAAACTGTTTAACATTAGCACGTCAAGGTTGACTTCTCATCCTTGTTAGAAAGTGAATTTAATATTGAGGGTAATTGAATGGTGTTGCAATTGCTTTCCCTCCTAATGGCTTGGTAAGAATATTAAAACCTGCAGAGGTGGAAATTGGAGCTCATGGGGAAATGGATAGAAAGCAATTTGTTGCGGGCAGCCTTTGGACAAGTTGTTTTAATAGGAAATAGAGCTGCTGCTTCATAGATTTCCTCAGCCCTCTCGAATGTGGTCTCCGTGGCCCTTAACGTCCAAAGGGCAGACATTGCCTTTCTGCTTAGCACCAGCTTACAGCAGCAAGAGAATTTTCCTCAATGAAAACCTCAACCTTCTAGTTCTGTGAAGCCCCTCTGGATTCTGGGCTATCAGAAGTAGGAGGTTCTAGTGCTGTTGAGGATGACCCTTCCTTTAAGCAGGTCTGCAGAGGAGACTACCAGTGCAGGAAGAGGTCATAGACCCTAAGTCCACACAGCCGTATTGCATAGAACAGCACTCAGCTCTGAAAAGCCTCCTGCAGGACTGGGTGTGAGTGGAGTGAAAGGACAGAGACCCTGAAAGTGAAGGTGGCCCGTGAGCTGCGGTGGGAAGGTGGGAAGGTGGGAAGGAGGCAGAACGAAGAGCAGGGCAGAGGCTGCCAGCACCAGAGGAGGGGGTCACTGAGAGGTCGAGCTGCGTGCAGGGAAATGAGTGCTAGTCACTGGTACCCTGGTCCCTTGGCCTCCAGCAGAGCGGAGATTTTAATCAGCTTCCCTAATGGGTATCGACATTGCTTGGGAGCAGTAGATCCTATCAAGGACAGCTATTGATCGCTTGTGTTCTGATTAGATTGGAAAACAGATCGACTTCACTGCGGCGCAGGCACTGTTACTGCCAGAGCTACGAGGGAGGAGGTAGTCTTTGGGGGCTGAGAAAAACCAAGTCAAGAATCTCGACCAGCCTGCCAGCAGCTGCAGGATAAAAGAGATGCATTCACTTCTCCTTTGGGATTTGTGGTTGAGGGTCCAAATTGAACCTAGCTGTGGCTTGCAGCCCAGTGTCCCCTCCTTGGGAAGAACGTGGGAAGTGGGTATGTTCAAAGACAGACACCACTGGTGAGTGATGGATTGATGAATGATCTGATCTTACCTAAAGAGGTGTGACGATTGGGAGATGACTCTTGCTTCTAACCTGCCTGCATACACGTGCACATTTGCTAGGCTGGCGTATTCTTGAACCAATTTTATCCAAGTGTATTATTCTGTTAATTCATATCTTTTGCTTTTCCCCTATCCTTCCAGTCCCCCAAAGGCCTTCTCTCTGAGCCATTTTCCAGTCCCATCTGCTTATCATTTTGGACTGTGAATCTGCCAGAGTGATCCTTTCTGTTATTTCTCCTTCAAATTTCCCCCTCATGCTTCCAATAAACTTCTTGGGTGTCCCCTTAAAATGACATGAGGATGCTTTTATGTCCTTCCAAACAAACAAACATACCATTCACCCTTCCTCTCCCATCTCCCTCCATTCTTTGTTCTCTGCTTTTCTCACTTGGAGGTAATGATACATAGGAGGTTTTCCGCACATCAGCCATGATTCCTGTTCCAGTTCCATCCACCAACAATGACTGCCACCACCCCTCTTCTAGTTTCAAAGGCCCCTGGCCGTGCTAATAGCCTCTCAGAGATGAGGTTTGAATGGTAGGCATGTCTGACTTGTCCGTAGCCTGGCCAGGGAGACCATGGGTAGCCATGTCTAGCTTACTCAGTCTTTGTCCTGAGAGGTTTGACTATTTCCAGCTAGAGACAGAGTGTCTTGCCAGGAAAAACTTAGCCCATTGCTGCCTTGCTGGAGGAGATTCAGGAAAGGCACACTGACTGCAGGGAGCCTCTTAGAGCCTCTGATGTTCCCAAAAAACCAGAATATCAGAATTGAGGATGAGTGCAGATCCTGCGCTCACTAGACTCTCACCTTAACTTATCTGACCTTGTCTTTCCTCCCTCCCACCGCACTGAAGCCTGGGACAGATTCCAGCTGTCCTCTGGTGAAGAAGGCCAGATAACGAGAGGTTGGAGGAAGGAGGACATAGAGGCTCAAGCAGAGAACACCAGGAGACGGGCTGCAGGGGTGGGAGAGGGTTCTGAGAGGATGCAGCAATCCAAAATAACTCCACTTCTGGCTAGAGTCCCTTGAGCCTTTGAAAGATTGGGCCTGCCACCTAGCTGGCACCCAGGTAGGGCCACCATCTCTCTGAGGAGGGAAGGAACATATTTCACCCTTGCACCCCCTGCTCTTGGAGAATATACGGCCTGTTCTCACTGCACTCATTCAGACTCCGGCTTTGGCTTCGTGGTCTCCCTCCCTCCATTCTTCCCCTGCCTTGACCATGATCAGTTAGGGGTGAGAAGAGCTTAGAAGAGCCACACTGGGGTCTTCATGCCTCTCCCATTTTAGGGGTTGAATTTTGTCTTTTCTCCACTCAGTTCACTCTTCAGTCCCGACCTTACTTCCACCACAGTGAAAGCACCAGATGTAACTTTTTCAGCTGACTTGTATGGGTTAACTTCAGTCCGTTGTAAATACACCTGGGGTGGGATAGGGACATTTAGGGAGGGGGAGCCAGATTCGCTTTGTGAATTGAATGTATTTTTATGCAATTTTGAGTGGCCTTTCAACCCTGAGATGAATGATTTTGTTTTACTGATTGTTACTATATAGTATTATTAAGTATTCTGTGTTTGAAAGTTTGGGAATAATAATATTCACATCTATATGATGCCTGTAAACACAACCATATTTATAAATGAGTAAATAAAACCGTGTTTTAACTTTGTGACTGTGTCTCCACAGTTCAGGAAATGGGGTTTATAGGATTTCCCATCTGGGGGAGCCCATCCCAGTGTTACGGGGAGGGGGGCTCACCCTCCTGCCTCTGTCCCAGGAACAACCACGAGTGAATCACTGTCACTGAGAGCAGGATCTCAGGAGTCAGACCAAGGACAAGCCTAGATTGGAGGTTCAAAAGAACCATAGGAGGAAATCAAGATTCCTGGTGTTGAGTGCCTAGGAATATGGTGATTTCTTTGAAGAGAGCAAGGCTCGTGACAGAGGTGTGGAGCCGGTCTGGATGGACACGTGCATGTGCTCACGCCCACGGGCAGGAGAGGACCGGAGAGGTGGCAGCCCGGGCTCCTGCAGGTGGCCCAGCATCCCCCCCTTAGCCCTCTGCTATGTATGTGATGGTCTTCACGAGGCCACTGTGTGGGTCACGAGAGCTGAAACTGCTCAGTAGCTTCCAGCCACAAAGGCAGCTAACGTGGGGGTTATCGGAGGCTCAATCTGAACTCCCAGCAAAGGAGCCGTGCACGGTGGAGGCTGCTCAGGCCTGCTGGCAGGGATGGCAGGTGGGTGGCCAGGTCTGACCTCGCTCAGCCAAGGTTCGGGTCTGGTTTCTCCATCCAGCAAGCCCGCCTCTGGCTTCACTCAGCCCTGGGTTCTCTGCCAAGCGGAAATCCCTGGTCACTGACTTGGCGCAAGCGCAGGGAGGAAAGATGCTTTTCCCTTGCGGTCACCCAGCTGCTTGTAGCCCAAGCAGCAACAGAACAAACACACATGATGTCATGGTTGAAGAGTTCAGACCTGTCCTGGGGCCCGAAACAGAGGCAAAGCAGCATGTGTGATGTGAGGGCTTTCTAAACCGCAAATGTCCTTTCTCTTTCCGGATCCCCCGCTTGACCTGGTGAGGTGTTTGTTCGGAGTCCGAGTATCCCCTGGCGGCCCTGTGGTCCAGCCCTCTGCAAAGGGCAAGAGCCCCCGGCGGAGAGCTCACGTGCTCAGCCAGGAGACCCACCGCGGACAAATCCCCAGCCTCTGGGCTGAGCAGTCTCCCGCCCCAGCCCTCACCAGGCCACCCAGCCTGCCCTGCTCAGGAACTAAAGCAGCAAGCCCAGATCTGCCGTGCCTTCCAGGAGACAGGTCCACAGGCGGGAGAGGGAACCGAGGAAGGAGCCTCACCCTTTCCAGTTCTTGGGGGTGTGAACCTGGGTAAAACCTCTGAACATAAGAGACTCCATTCTGGGACTGACACTTCATCCTGTTTTTAAAAACAGGAACTGAGCTACTGAACTGGGCAGAGGCATAGGACTGCACACAGGCCTGCTGCCTCCACATTCCGCGGAACAACTGGACACTCGGCAGAAGGTTTTCCTAGTAACCGACTGGTAACCGACTGTACTTGGAAAACCAACTGTAAAATGTAATTGTATCTTCCAATCATAGTTTTTGGAAAACAACTTGTGGACATTTCCTAATACTTCCACAGTCTGCTGATAGAAAGCTCCAGCTTTTACTCTTGAAGGGACACAATTGGGTTGCTACCCAAAGCTGGTTACCCTGAATTGCAATTCTAAGACCCCACATAAATGCTTTTGTTTTATTTAAGTTCTCCCTCTTTTCTCTCTCAACGGGGACAGTTGCTGCCCTACTTTCTCTTTCCTTAAAATTCTGAAGCTTCCTCCTTGGCCCCTAACATCTTTGCCTCAGAAATCAAAGACGTTTAAAGCTCTTTACAGTGGGGCAATCAAGGACTTTGTAGAAATTCTCACTTTTCGGGGCATCTGGGTGGCTCAGTTGTTAAGCGTCTGCCTTCGGCTCAGGTCATGATCCCAGGATCCTGGGATCGAGCCCCGCATCGGGCTCCCTGCTCAGTGGAGAGCCTGCTTCTCCCTCTCCCACTCCCCCTGCTTGTGTTCCATCTCTTGCTGTGTCTCTCTCTGTCAAATAAATAAATAAAATCTTTAAAAAAAAAAAAAAAGAAATTCTCACTTTTCAAACTTCCATTCCCCAGGCCCAGCTTCCATGTCTTGGCGCTCAGAAGGTGGCTGTTTCCCCAAGCCCAGGGCCACGGGGAAAGGAATCGAGGATCCCCCAACCTCCCAGACCATGTCCCCCAGCACCACGGCCCTGACTCCAGAAAGCTGTCATGAGGATATGTGTGCCCCACCACCCATCACAGACTGCATCCCCAAGAAGAGAACAGGCCTCAGGCCCCTTGTCCTGCTTCCCTGAAGGAAGGCGCTGGCCTCGAGGCCAGATTCTCAGAACCCTCTCCCACCCGCGGCCGCCATGCAGACCCTCAGGAGGCAGTTCCTGCCTGGCCCCTCCCTGCAGCCTGGCAAACACTAGAGACACCCCCCACCCCCAGGTTTCTTTCAGCTCATTTCTTTAATAAGGAGACGCAGCTCATTACAAAATAACAATTTGACAAGAGATCAGACAAGAACAACAGAGTCCACATAAGGGGGGTGTGGAGAGCATTGCCAAGCAGAGGAGGTGGGGGGCGAGGCGTGGGGGTGGGGGCTACACAGGTGTCCTTCCTATGGAGACAAAGGCAGGGTTCCTGGCGGGCCGATGCATTCCAGGGGTGACCTGAGGCAGGCTAGGGTCTGCCCGCCCCCCGCCCCCCACTGGTTTTGAAGTTTTCAGATCCCTGGGATTTCTGAAAGCAGCAACTCAAGTCCTTAGATGGGGAGGAGTCAGGGCAGAACAGTCAAGCTTCTTTGAAGAGGGTCCTCCTCGAATCCTGATGGCTGAGGAGGGCTGGATGGAGAGACCCCATGCACTCGGCTCTGCCACCTCACCAGGCCAGACCCCCTCAACTCTTGCCTGCACCGCTGTCTGCCGTGGGTGTGGAGAGTGGGAGGGTCCCAGAGAGCGCTAGCGGGAGGCTAGACACGTCTTCCCTCCACTCCTCCAAGCTCTGGATCCCAGCCCAGCCGGAGATGGTCCCCAGCATGAAGATCCCAGGGGCTTCTGCGTGCTCACAAGTCATGCTTTGTGAAGGGCAGAGCCCACCTCGCCGCCTTCGGCCTTGTCCTCCTCACGTTCTTGTCTCTCTCCTTCCTCACGCTTACCAGTCGCCATGCCCGAGGCCTCCTAGCATTATTCCCATGAGTTGTCTGCCCTCGGCCGTGCCCATGGGGCCAGGAGCTGCAGGCTGGGAGCTTACATGCCCGTCCTGGTACAACAGAGTGATGTGGGACCTGCAGAGCCCCCAGCTCTGCTCCCCCAGTTCTCTACCACAGGGTGCTCCTGGCTGGGGGGGTCTGCAGGCCTCAGGCCACCCACTCTTGGGCGCTGTCAGCCTGCAGGAGGGAGCACGGTGGGAAGAGCCTAACCCACTGCGTTCTCCAGTGCACCCCCGCCCCCAGAGGCCTTCCTGCATTGCCACCCACGGCCCTGACCCCACTGTGTTACAGAAGCAGGGCTGGTTCTGTCAAGCCCGAGGGGGTGGGAACCTGAGCCGCTGACTAGCTGCTCCCGAAAATCCTGGGTGCCTCCTCAGTGCCCCGAAACTGTGGCGTCCCCCCCACTGCCCTGTCCACACGCAGGATGGAGATGGAGTTGGACTGTCAAATCCAGGTGGAGGAGCCCGCTTGGGCAGGGCCAGCCCGGACGCCTCCTGGGACTCGGCCAGAAGCCCTGGACGCCATCCGTCCTCGTGACACGGGGCTGAGAGAGCGGGAGGGGTGACAGCAGGTGAGCCCTTCACAAGTGTTCTGTGGGGAGCCAGTCGGAGGGACACGGGGGGCTCCTGGGAGGAACCAAGGGCGGTCTCCAGCAGGAGGCCCCCTTTATGGCTTTTCAGTGAATTCATACAGTGGGAGGAAGGGGCACACCGCACACATACGCGGGACACAGAAGCTCCCGGGACAGCAGACCCCGGGCTGGACACAGCGCACGTTACACTGAGGGTCAGCTCTGCAGACGGATGTGCAGCAGGCGGTGGGGACGGGCCTTCGGGGCGCCAGTGTCCTCCCACGTCCCCGAAGGCAGGGCTGGTGCCCGAGCCCGAAACCGACGCCGACGCCCCCAGCCGGTGGCTCCCACTGGGGGGTTCCCGATGGGGTGAGACAGGGTGGGGCTTGGGGACAAAGACTTTACGTGACATAAAATCGAAGGGGCGACCTCAACGAGTTGTGTAAAGTGGGGTCAAGGGCAGGGGTTAGGGGGACTCTCAGCATGGCCATGCGGCTATTTACAGAAAGTCAGAGACATGCATGTTGAGTAAACAAGATTCAGTTCATAGGTTTATAGATCACTATCTTCTTTTATATATAACTAAATGCGCACGGAGGGGGTCATGAGGCTCAAATGGCTTCAGAAGGTTCTTGTTTTGTTGTCACTTAAAAAATAAAGTATATTCGTGTGTCTTCAAGTCACAGTGTCCCCTTCTCAATATTGCAGCTCGAAAAGCAGGTTAAGTAAGATCCTTGGTGACCAGTCTCTGGCCCCCTGGGACTGAGGGGGAGAGGGGGGAAGTGGTCATAGAATAGGGGTGCCAGATAAAACACAGGATGGCCAGTTAAATTTGAATCTCAGATAAACAACAAATCACTTTTTGTATCGTATGTCCCAAATTTGCCTAAGACATACTTAGACTTTAAAATTATGTACTGTTTATCGAAATGCAAATCGAACTGGGTATCTTGTATTTTTATTTGCCAAATCTGACAACCATGTCGTGGGACTCTGGGCCACGAAGACCAGGCCTTGGGACTCTTCCCTGCCTGCCACCAGCCAGGGCTCTGAGAAAGGGCCCCCAACCAGCCTCAGGTGGGAAGGGGGAGGGGAGTAGGGACAGAGTGGAGGGTTGGAGGGCAGGTCCTGGCTCTGTCGCTTCCTACCTTTGTGTGGAGGGACAAAGGACAGTCTCTCTCTGTATGTGGTTGGGTGAGACCAAGAATTAGCATATGTTAAAGGAATGTGGAATCTCTCACTCCCAACCCCAGGGGAGGTTTCTCAACCTCTCTGCTCACCCACCACCACCCCACTGCATGGAGGCTGGTTTTTCAGGGAGCTGGTTTTATCCACAGGAGGACTGCTACAACCTCTCCCTTCTCTCTCACTGGAGCCCTGGGCCAGCAAAATCATCCTAGACTGATTCTGCAGAACCACAGCTATGTATGGTTTCCTGGGAAGAAAAAAAGATCAGGATCTGAGACTATGCTCTAATCCCTGCTGTCCCATCCTCCAGCTGAGGGATCCCTGCAAAGGCACTTCTCTTGTTCATGCGAAGCACCTGCTCACTCACTCTCTGGGGCTGCCCGAGTGTTCTCTACCCTGCTTCCCCCAGGCCTCAGCTTCCGCTTCCAAAGTCCAAAAATCTGCATATGGCTCTGGCAGAGTTAGTTTCTCTTCTGGAATGATTATTCAAGCAAAAAGGAGAGGACTGAGCCTTCTGGCCTCACCCCAGTTCTGGGTGGGATTGGGTTTGGGTCTTTATGGTCTCAGTTCATGTGGAAAAAATCACTTCTATCCTATTTTCCTGTCTGCAATAGACTTTGGGAGTGAGAACTCACAGCCTCAGAGGCCTCCAGAACCCCTCACTAGCCAGAACTAACTCTCTCCTACTTAGGGCATACACCCCAGCATCCTAACATCCCCAGAAATAAACCTGCACGGAAGTGAGGGTCCAGAACGATGCTCCGTGCTTCAGGTAACATCACCCCTCAGATGTAGAAAACTTACAAGCATAGGTATGTTCACCTGCCTAGTTCATGGACCTGGACAGATGCCTTCACTAGGATGGCTCATCTGGGCCAAGTGCCCATCCGAGGACCAGCCGGAACCTAGGTGGGTGGGAGGGAGGAATTGTTGCCCACACTCAGTCTCTCAGCAACCTGTCCCCACCCCTCAAGGCTGCTCACTAGAGGTGAGCCCAGAGTAACAAAACCCAGCCCGTCTTCTGGCACATGGACACCCAAACCACCAGAGGCACCCACCATTTCCTTTCCTCCCCATCAGGAGAGTGGCATATCTTGGGCTCTGGAAGGGCTGAATGAGGTTCATGGGCAGAGAAGACTCTCACGTAGTAGAAAGTACATTGGGAAAGGGCAAAAGAATGAAGGTAAGGAAGATGAGATTGACAGGGAGGTCCTATGAACAAGGGTTGTGGGATATGCTGGGGAGAGAGACCCTGAGAAAGCACCAAAATCCCACAGCTCTGGGGATGGGAGAAGAGTCCAGTGACTTCTGATGTCCATACCAGGACATCTTATGCTGCAGTCAGCCAGATTCTGAAGGCACCCTATTTTCCTACAACTCTCTACCATGACCAAAACTCTGGTCCCAAGGACCAAAGCTCACAGTCCTTGTCAGAGTCCAACCTTCTCATCATTAAGTACACACCCACACTCACACAGGGTCCAGTAAAATACAATCTCCCATGTACCAAGGGCCACTAGCAAGAAGGAGAAGGGTCTCTGAGAGATGAACAAGCCTGAAACCCGCTTCCCAGTCTGGTTCTGGTGGAGGTGTTCCCTCATCCCCTACTCTAACCAAAAAATATGGCACAGCAGAAACAAAAAACCCATCTTTCTTTTAACAAGATAAAAAGACACTCTGCACCTTCTTCATGTGGATCCTCAAAGCCTGATTTTCTCTAACACTGTCCATCTATCTCAGGTACCTATAGGAAGCTGAGGTGGCCCAGATGGGGCACGACAGGAATTTTTGCCGGGAGAGAGATCCCCAAGGTTCTGAGAAAGCTATGAGTATTCTGTGATGAAGAAGTGGCAGGGGCCTCAGGGCTTCATTGATGGAAGAGAGAGGCTGAAGGAAGGGAGGCAAGGATGGGAGGAAGGGGCGGAAGGAAGTGGTGCTGGCCTCAGGCCATGTGGGGCCTAACTCTCTTGCCCAGGCTGAATGTTTGGAAGGAGGCTCAGTGCAAACTTGACTAACATATATATGGCTTTTTATCAGTGCTGGGAACAAAAGATGAAGAGGGAATGGGACACAACTGAGTGCGGGGTAGAAACCCCAGCAGGTGTCCTCCACCACCCATCTGGAATGGATATCCTGCTTCTTGGCATTCATAGAGAGAAGCCTCCCTAAGGAATGGTAGGATGGGGCCTCCCCACAGGTCTCCTTGGGCCACACCAGTTACCCATAAGCTGTCTGGCATGGAAGGCAGAGGAGTGGGAGCTGGGGGGAATCTCAGCACTCCTACCTATCTCATCCGGGAAATCTCTGCCATCTGTCCGCCATCCTCCCCTTCTTACCTGGACCTCAGGGGAACTAAGAATATTTAAACCTTCTTTTAGAGTTCTCTGGCTCTGTACAGATAACAGTCTTCAGATAGCGTTGCTCCATTTAGATTAAAAGAGAAAACAGAAGCAAAAGCATCATGGGGAATCAATGCAAATGAACAGCATAGCTTAAATTCTGGAAAGGGAGAAAGCATCTGTGTTTCCCACTGGAAGGGAGTGAAGAAGATCCAGGAGTTTCATTTGGTCTTTCTAGGTAATGGGTCTTGTTTCTTCATAGTTTGATGTTAACTGTCATCAACATATGAGGTCCCAGGAGTGATGGTCCCTGTTAGAGCCTGACCAATCTAGTGAATAGTTCATGTCCATGAATGTCCCAGAAACCACACTTGTGGGGAAACTATGCCTGACAGGAGGAAGTCTGTGATGGCATCAGGGGTTTGGTCCTAGTTCTGGACAAATCCAGTCTCCACATCTGGTCTCCCAGATAGCCACCCACAAGGAGTACGGGAGCTTCTGGCTTCTGACCAGGATTCTGAGCCCTCTCCACGAGCTGACGGAAGATCTCCCACTTAGACAGTGGACGTGTCTTCATTTCAGGGTCCGTGAAGAGCCTTCTCTTCCCACACAACTTTACCGTCCATGGCTCATTCCAGGAACGCAGAGAGATGCTCACACACATGCACGCACATGCGTACACACGCGTGCACACGCACGCACGCGTTCACACCCACACATACACACACACAGCATAGGCCACTGTGTCGCCTTTCCTGTCAGGAAACAGGATGTGCTGCCATTTTGTTGGTCCAGAACGCTCAAAAAACAGGAAGGGCTGCGACTTTCTGCCGGAAGAGGGCTTCACTCAGGGTGAGGCTTCAGTGAAGCTTTGAAGAAGTGAGAGGGACACGTGACAGGGCATGCAGCAAGGACAGCTCCTGGGACGAAGAAAAGAGCCAGGCTTCTCTTTCACCTGTTAGGGGACTCTCCTCACACGGCCATCAGAGGGAAGTCGGTCTTTAAAAAGAGAAAAGGAAGGAAGAACAGGGACACAGCCACAAACAAATGAGAAAGAAAACCTCTAAGGTCGCATAACTGAGGTATTGATAGCTCTGGATCTTGTCCGTGTCTGTCATGGCGCGGGGTCCCGGCCGCTGCTGCCTACTTGTTCTTGCCCAGGAGTGCGTCCACCTCCTCCTCGGGCTTGAGCGAGTGCCACTGGGCGATGGGCCTCCGGGGGTTGGCCAGCATGTCGGACCAGTGTCGCAGCTCTGTGCCCGTGGCGTTGCTGCCCACAAAGATCTTGCCGATGGCTTCGTTCTTGCCCAGCTTGTCATAGTCCAGCACGGTGACCACCACCTGGACTTTCTGTGGGGAAACAAAGGAGGGAGGAGGTTGGCAGGTGAAAATGAGCGATCCCGCGACCAAACTCGTCCTCCTCCATCCTCTACTCCACATGCTCGGCGAGGAGAGGCCTCCCAGGGCACCTTGCTTCCCTCTCTGGCTCCAACTGAGACTGAACTTACACGGAGGCAGAGACCACACCTGCTGGAAAGAGCCTTTGTTTCTACCGAGAGGCACCTACTGAGCATGTGCCGTGCTCCGCCCGCCATTGAGGGCCTGGGGTGGAGGGCGGGGAGGAAAAGGGAAAAGGTGAACATCGCCTCTAACGAAAGCAGCAGACACGTACTGAGACACCTACAACCCCAAGTGACAGACACTGACAGGACAAGCTTCACAGAGGAGGTGACACAGAAACTGGGAGGTGAGGGTAAGGGCTTTTCTAGGCAGAGAGAGAAGAGGATCCCAGGAAGGAAGAGTAGCCTGGGTCAAGGCCAGAAACACAAGTGTGCACTTGGCGTCTGGGAAACAGACAAAGTTCAGAGCCACTGAGGTAGAGTGTGAGAAGCAACAAGGCGGAAATGGGGCCAGCAGCCCCCCACGAATGGGCTTTTATTCTTCAGCCAAGCGGCAGGAAGCTCCCAAAGGCTTCTGAGAGGAGTGGCACGGAAATTTCAGGAAGAGAACCCTGGCGCCGAGGTGGGAGATTCACTGGAGGGGGACTGGGACTGGCTGCGGGGCCGCGGTGGGGTTGGGAGGGGCGGGGGGTCATGAATGCCTGAACCAAGGCAGGGCAATGGGAATGGAAGTAGGGGCCAGACTGGAGAGGTGTTGAGGGGAGAGAATCAAGAGGACTTGGTGGTCAGTCGGACTGGCTGAGGGGACAATCAGTACCTTCCTCTGGCCTGCCCCCCCCTCCCCCCACCAACTCAGGCTCATCCTTTAGGACCAAACTTGCTCCAGCAAGCCTCAGCTGTGTCGTTCACCGTGCTCTGCATTTGCTCACGCTGAAGCCCCCTCTCCCTGTGTTTCGCTGGCCTGTTACTGCCGCCCCTCCCGACCGTGAGGTCCTCGGACAGCAAGGACTGTGTCTTCTACACATGTGTTTCTCCAGCACCTCGCGAGTTCCTGGCACTTAGGGAGTGCTCAGCAAAGTATGTGGGATAAATGAGAAAGGAAAGAAAAAGGGCAGAGGGTCTGAGATGATGCCCTGGTCTCTCACTTGAAAACAGAAGGCAGACGAAGCAGGTTTGGCTGGGAGCCGTATGGGGAAGATCATTATACTGGTTTTAGGCACGTCGAATTTGAACCCCCTGGGCCAGTTCCCTTTATATCCACCTTAAGTCTTCCACAAGGACGACCCCTCTTGGTCTAACATTATCACTGAGCTGCCCCTTATCCCCTTGATGAATTCTCCATAGATGACAGCACCAGCTCGGACGATTCCCTTGGCACACCTTCCTCCCAGCCCTAGGGAGGGGACGGCAGGGGGTGCAGGGAGAGGGAGAGAAGAGGGGGCAGTTCACTCCAAAGAGGGAGAGACCAAGACTCCAAGAGGATCCAGCACTCTGCAAGCCCCTGACGGCTGGGTGGGTATCTGGTCCTGCCATGTTCAGATCCCACTCACGGCCGCTCGGGGTAAAACACGGATCTCGCCTCCAACACTTACAGAGCTTGCTGGCAGGAGGAAGCAAGGAGAGAGAAGAGAAGGGAAGGATAGAAGGAAAGAGGAGAGAGGAAGGGGGCGGTGGGGTAGCTGGGGGCAGACCTAGGGAGCAGCAGAAGAGGGGGAAGGATGAGCAAGACGGGAAGTGGCTGGACCAGGAAGAGCAGGAAGAGGATGAGGCTGCCCCCGCCTCCTCGGCAGCTCCAGCCTCACGGGCGCACCGCACCCTCGGCTGCCCCCCAGGCCTAAAGAAATGACTTGTTTTGAATAGTTCATGTTCATCTCAGGAACGGGGGAAGCTGTAGAAGGGGCCCCGGGAAGGAGGCCCCAGGATGGGACAGTGAGAGCCAGAGCCCTCCCCGCCTGAGCGAGGCAGCTTGAGGTTTTGGGTGAGTTCCCTTGAGCCCCCACGAGGGCACACGTGCCGGCCCCACCTGCTTGTGCTTCTGTGCCCGAAAACCCAAGCACCTGAATCTGCTCGAAGGGGATCTCAAAGCTGAAGGACTCGTTGAAGTAGGGGTTCAGGGTCTTCTTCTTCACCGTCGTCTTCTTCTTCTTGAGCCTCTTGCCATTCTGCATCAGGTGGATCTTCACGTAGGGGTCTGTGCAGGGAGAATCCCAGCCCCAGAGAGGCTCCCTTAGCCACCCCCACCCTCCCACCAAATGCACTCGCCTCCCAGAGCGCCCACCGACCAAGGCCAGGAGCCCAGCAAGCCCTGAGGCACAGGCTGCTGAGTCCAAAAGAAGCAAAGTAAGTGTCTAGTTCAGGGGCAGCAAGAAAGTTGCACTTCCAAGACCACCGCGGGCTGACTGGTTGTGGCTGCCTGGAGCATTAGATGGGGGCCATTCCTGAGACTAAGGAAGGCCTCATCCAGAAGGAGTAAGGGGGTCACTTGGTGCTATCTGTCCGGGCAGGGGACAGAGGAATGCTAAAGACACCACACACATCTGCCATCCCTGATTCGGTCCAATCCTCCAGACCTTGCAGCTGAGAAACTGAGGCCCACAGAAGGGAGATGATGTGTCCCCGGTCACACAGCCGGTCAGTGACAGAGCTGGGGCCAGCAGACCCCGTGCTGTGGGTCAGCCCTGCTCCGAGCGCTCCCCACCCTGCAGTCCCCTTCCAAGGTAGAGCCAGCAGGGCCTCTCCTGGAGAAGTGTCCCAGATGGTCGGTGACACGACAGAGAGGCAAGCTCTGGGCTGCACCCCGTCCCCTTCCTACACTTCCCTGGGAGAAGTCACTAACTCATCTGGGAGATGAAGCTTCTCTGATCCTTTCCTGCATGGTCCATACTGCCCGGCAGTTCAGAGCGGGGGCAGGGGACCCTCGGAGAAAGGAGGGAAGGCCAGGCGTCTCCTGCTCCACGGTCCTGCCCTCAAGACCCCCAGCTGCTCTGACGTATCCTCTGTGTCCCAGGGCAGGAAAGTGTGGCTCTAACAGGTGTGTGAACAGAGGGCTCTGGGCCGTGACTGGCTCGCTGGTGCCACTCAGTGGCAGCCAGAAGCCCTGCATGTACCTGAAAGGCCGCCTACGTCCATCTTCTTCAGGTTCTTGGCCTCCAGGATGCAGACGGTGAGCTTCCCGGCCGTGGGCACATAGCGCAGGGAGGTGCAGATGTCGCCCAGCTTCTCTGGCTGCCCAGTGGGGAGAGCAGGACTCAGGGTCATCTCTCCGCGTCCAACGCGGCTCACCCCCCTCTTGCCGAGACTAGCGAGACAGTGGTGCCTCCCCAGCTCTCTGGGTCCCCAGTCCCCACGTCTGTGACGTTTGAGAAGGTCTCGGGGGCCTCCTGCTGCAGTTCAACAAAGCCCTGAGAGTGGGGCTGCAGGAGCCATGGCCTCAGGAGTGAGTGGAAGGAGCGCAGGCTGCGGGCAGGAGTGTGTGCGTGATAGGGGAAGGCGGGGGCTCGGGGTGTGGCCAGGCTCCCACCCCAGGCCCAGGGGAGGGGGGAAGGAGTGGGTGTGGTGCACTGGAAAGGGTCATTTCCAAGGACACGGCGAAGCTGAGTGTCTCTGAGGTCTTCCTCCCTGACCCCTCCCGCCCTGGAGGTAGCTCCCAACAACCGTTTCACTGGCACAGTGATCCGTGGTCTTCAACGCACTTTGCGTCCCTTTTCCTGGGTTACTGTCCCCGCAACGCTTTCACATAGATAAGTGGAGGGTTCTCTGTGACCAGTGAGAGTTCCACAAAGCCCCACAACAATTTCGCACTGGAGGCAGGATGAGAACCCAGGGCTGCTGAGTCCTAGGAGCTCTGCCAACATCACGCCAGAGTCGAGCTTCTCAGAAACGGGGCCACCGGGGCCAATTCTGACCACCTCACCCATATCCCAGCTCAGGTGTGCTGGCCCTGCTCTCACACAGCGTGAGCCCCAAGATAAGGAAGGGTGTCTTAAGTGTCTCTTCTCACCCCCTCCATTACCACCTGGTACTGTGCTGGGCACAGAGCAGGGGCTTGGCCGAGACAAAGGACCGATGCCTGGAAGGAGCAGTGGCTAAAATGGAGTATTTGGCACACAGTAGGTGCTCAGTAAGTGTTTGGTAAGTGATTGAATGCTGTAGCAGTTGCTGGGAGGACAAGCCCCCATACTGAGAAACTTTTATAATAAATGTGGGCTTTCCCTGTGGGTAAACTGAGGCACAAAGTCATGAATCACTGGCCCTAAGTGACAGCAGGACCTTAGGAGTAAAATAATAATGGTGTTCTCCTTTACTTGAGCACCTACTAGATGCCAAATGCCTACTGGGTGTCAGGTGCATTACAGAGATAGGTAATTCTCACCTGCAAAAACAGACTACAGGAGAGAACCCGGGTCTAAAGAGATTAAGTGGCGTACCCAGGGTCACACAGCTGGAGGTGTGGAGTTGGGATCCTAACCCGGCTCAACTCTAAAGCCCGCCCTCTCCCTGTCATGCCAGTAGGTGGTAACCCAGGTTGGCAGCCACATTCGTCTTCCACCTCTCACCTCCTCTTTCTCCCCGCCCTGCAGGTCTCTCCACTCCTCGATGGGCTGGCCAAGGTCCACGGTGTTCATAGGCACCTTTACCTCCCCAATGATGTCGTGTTTGGAGAAGCGGTCAAAGTCATAGATAGCCATCACCAGGGTTTTGCCTCCTAGCTCCTGGTATGGTACCTGCAGGGCACAAGCAGGATCAGAGAGGGGTAGCAACTCACGCACCTCCAGGGGCTGCTGTGGGCAGGACCCTGGGGCTGAGCTCTCTTCCCGATAGCCCACGGGACTCCCAGTGAGTCTGTAAAGACAGAGAGAAGACTTCGGGGTCTGGTGGAGCAGAATGTGTGTGGGAAGGGGGGATGTCCCAGTCCTACAGGAGCCTGAGCTGTGACCTCACACATAAGCCCACAGCCCAACCTGCCATTGTTCCAGCCTGAGCTCATTCCAGGGCCTTAGCCATGGCTAAGGACCAAGGAAAGATCTGCAGAACTCAAATGGAATTGGGATCGGGGAGGGAACTGGCATTATCCTTCCCGCCGGCATCACCTTGAAGGTGAAAGTTTCATTGAAGGCAGGGTTCAGTGTCTTCCGATGGACTTTGGTCTCGTATTTCTTCTTCTTGTCTGGAAGAAGGAAGACTTTGACATAAGGGTCTGAGGTGCCTCCCATGTCCAGGGCAGGCAATTCAGCAGCCTGCAGAACGCCAACGGTAAGCTGTGGAGAGAACAAGGGGGCCCTGAGTCTCAGGACAGCTCCACCACCAGACCTGGCCCCGGACCCAGCACTCACCAACCCTTCCCCAGCGGCGGGCAGCTGGGGAGGTGGGAACAGGCTGGTGCTAGAGAAGAAAACCGGTCTCCATCTCCAGCCCCAGGAATTTGGCATGGTATCAATAGAAGCGGAAACTGAGAGGGCAACTGATTTGCCCAAGGTCGGTGGGCAAGTTTACAGCAGAGCCCATCTGAGCCAGGGAACCTTCTCTAGGGCACGCTGGTGGCCAAGGCAGAGTCAATGTCTCGGGGTACATGCCTAGGGTTTCCAGCCCACCCCACCCCATGAAAAGGAGCAATGTCCATGGGTCAAGGTAGGGGTGAGGGGTGTGGGAGTGTGGGGTTTCTATCCCCCTCCCACCCAGATCCCAACCCTTTGCCCCATCCCCCACTTCACTCCCCAGTCCAGCCCTCATACCTGGTTGGCCTGGAAATCATAATCCAGGGAAAACTGCAGTTTGCCCAGATTCTCTGGCTCTTTCTCTTCCTCTCCTTCACCTTCTCCCTCTGTCAGGCCGGTCTCTGCATCGTCATCGTCCTGTGGGGGCTGCGCAAGAGGAGGGGTGAGTTAAAAGGAGAGAACGGAGCCTGGCTGGTGCAGGGCCAATGGGAAGCCAGCCCCTCTGTGCCCACCCTGACTCGGAGCTGGGTGTGGGGCGAGGAGTAGGAATGTGGCACTGTCCTGGGGACTTGTTTCTGCCACAGCCCCTCAAAGCCCCCAGGCAGCCCCTCAGAACCCCAGCCTGTGTCCAGAAGACACGGTTCCGGTTCGGGTGTGACTCTCTCCCTGCAAGACACAGTCCTATGAGGCCAGGCACCACGCCGATGCTCTGGAGCTTCTTGAGGTAGGGGAGAGGTGCTTCCCTTGGTAGCCCCTCCCCAACACTTCCCCAGCTCAGGCCCCACCCACCCTGGGCAAGACTTACCAGGAGCGCGGTCCGGGCATTCATGAGTATGGAGAGTCCACAGAGGTGAGAAGAGAAGGAAAAAAGTGATGTAAGAGAAAATCCTACAGCTCAGACCAGCCCCTGCTGTTACAGGCACCTGGTGAGACCAGGCTGAGCTACACCCAGATCATTCTTGGAGTCTTCCCTCCCACCCTGACTTCATACTGCAGGCTTCTTTCGGGGGCATGCACACACACACACACACATATTCACACACATACAGGCATGTATATACATGCACACTCAAACACTCAAAGGCTTTAATCTCTGGCTGACTTCTTGAGATCAGGCCCTTCCTTCCATCCTCCATATTGATTTCTTGAGCAAGAGATTTCTCCTAGTCACTCCCAGAACAAATGAGCGAATGTGGGTAAAAGTGAAGCACACAGGGGCCTTTGTAAACTTAAAAGGAGAAACTAGGGTTGACCAAAGGACATTTCCAGGCCAATCAAACCCCCAAAACAGGGGTAAATAAACCAAATGATTATGTGACTAGAGATGGATTTCAATTGGCCCTGTCTCGGTGCCTCAGGACCATTCTTTCACCTCATTTGATCCCGCACCCATCCCAAGTAGAGGCCTCCAGTGAGATTTTGTCCTTTAGTCTCTTCTGGCAGGAAAACACAGGGTCACTCCAATGGCGGTTTCCTGGAGGGTTGGGCTTTCTCTTTCCAACATTTTGTCCCATAGCCTCTTTGGGGGTCAATATATTGTTGTCTTCCTCTGTCTTTTCAAGGATGAGTCCATGCTAACACGTGAATAAGTCCCCCCTTCCTACCTGCTGATGGGTAGACAACATTCCACTAGAGATGTAGGCAATAGGCAGGGGGAGGGCGTGTGGAGTTCTAAGAAGAGGAGCTGTTTTGACTGTAGAGCCCAGAAGCCTTTGCTTCACCTTCCAGCGTCTGGAATGGCTGGGCTGGGCCCCTCTCCGATCCTCCCACCCCTGCATTGTCCTACCTGACCCCCTTTCATATCCTTCATGTTCATGGCATTCTTCATGCCTTTGCCTTTCTCCTTCTTGTTCTTCTTCTTCTTGCAGAAGCACTTCTTGCAGATGCAGAAGCAGCAGGTGAGGAGCAGGAGGCCAGCGACCACAGCAATGGCGATCAGTGCCCAGGGTGGTACTGCCCACACAGAGAGGACCCCGAAGTCAGCAGTGCTCTGCCTTACAGCCCCTGACCCCATAGCACTGGCTAAAATGGGTGGAGACTAGGAACTCCGATGCCCACACTCCACCTTTCTAAACCACACACTCATGAGTGCTTGATGTATAAGTTGCATATCCTTTTTGCGTGTCTTTTCATTAATACCTTGCTCTCTCCTTAGCCTACTGCCCTTGTAGATATAGCCCCCTAATTGAGAGATAGCAGCCAGGTGTGTACAAGGAAGAACATCAGTTTGGCTCTGTTGAGTTTTGACTCGTTTGATCTATAGAAAACTGCCTTATATTGGAGAGCATGGGATGGTCCTTATCTGACCCAGGTATAGAAGAGCCCCTTCAACCCATTCCCTATGTCCAGTCTTGAGAGGGCTGACCCAGAGCCAGCAGGCCAAGCTCCTTAAGGACCTGGAAGGCTCAGCTTTGCGGAACTCGAATATTTGGGGATGGGCCCTGGGCTGCTCTCCGGGGTCCTGAAGCGCCCTCTCCCACTGGTGGGGGCTGCTCCCCTTAATCTCTGGTGACTCCTAACCAGCCTTTGCCAGGAATTCAGAAAGCAGTGGGGGAGGAGGGAAGGTATTTTCCGTCTTCCAAACTAAAGCAGTTTCAAAACATGACTGGCAAACTTTAATAATGACTTCTGTTTCATGATTTTTCATCTTCCTCTGGTTTCAACTTCTGACAATTTTCTAAGTTGTAAGGACTTTTTTTTCCTCCTGGGAGCCTGGGGCATATAAAACCCTTTCTTCCCTTTTAATAGTGCCGGACCACACTCTCCCCCATTCCTGAAGGGACTCCCCAAATAACCCATCCTGGAATCCAAACGTGCAGCCAGTCACGTCCCAGTGGTGCTCCCCACTCTTCCCCACCCTGCCCTGCCCACAAGGCCTTTCACTAACCCTAGCCTCACCCTGCCCTCTCAGCCACCTGGGACACTCACAGGGGATCTTCTGGATCTCATTGAAGAATTTCTCCTTTATCTTGGCAAACATGTCCTCCTTACTCTCCCCAGCGCCCCCACTCTCAGTAGAGTTGGGTAAGAGCCCGGTTGATATTGTGGCGGTGGTGGTGGTAGGAGCCACAATGGGCTCCTGGTTCCTCTTGAAGATGTTCCTCATGGTGGCAGAGGGGATCGCTGCAGATGAGAGGGAACAGGAGCAGATGAACATCCCAGAGGTCTGAGTGCAGAAAGCTCTACCCAGAGGACGGGGGGGAAAAGTCTTTCAAAATCTAAAGACTACTAATAATAGTCCCTTTATAATGCAAAGATATTTCCCATAATATTAACAACTGCGGGAAAACAGCAACAGTAATAGTCAACATCAAGTTAGGACATGGATGAGTCAGGCACTGTGCAAAGTACTTTCCATGCATGACCCTCATTTAATCCAAACAATAGCCCAATGGTTTTTTTAAAGATTTTTATTTTATTTATTTATTTATTTATTTGAGAGAGAGAGTGAGAGAACACAAGCCGGGGGGAGGAGCAGAGGGAGAAGCAGACTCGATCCTGGGACTCCGGGACTCCCAGGATCATGACCCAATAGCCTAATGTTTGATTATTATTCCCATTTAACAGATGCGGAAATGGAGATTCAGAGGGGTCAGGCAGATTTCCCAAGGTCACTTAGCTGGTAAGTTCTGAAACTGATGTGTGAACCAATCGGCCTGACTCCAAAGCCTGTAAACCTAATCGCTTTCATACATATCTCATTTAAATCCAACCACACAACTCTAAGAAGGAGGCAATGTTCTGCTTTCGAAGACTCCTTCTTGAGCCTTTCGCCTCCTTAACGTCTTCTGTGACCTCGTTCTGCCTAGATTCCTACCTGTTCCTATCAAATTCCTGCTGTCATCATCCCTGCCCTCAATCTACATCAACATCTCTAGAAAACAGAGGGCAAGAGATTGAAAGAGAAGCTGCCCATAATTTTACCACGCAGAGATAACTCAGGTTCACATATTGGAGCATTTTGTAACAGTTTTTCAGAGTTTTTTTTACCTGTTGAGACCATACTACATGTAATTCGGCATTCTGCTTTTTTTTTTAACATAGGATTTTATCATAAGCCTTTTCTCTCTCTTTTTAAAAAAGATTTATTTATTTTAGAGAGAAAGAGAGTGTTTGTGCACACGAGTGGGGGAAGGGGCAGAGAGAGAGAAGCTGACTCCCTGCTGAACGTGGAGCCTGACGTTCATTTAAGGCAGAGGAGTGCCCTGCTCTGTTAAAACTGGGGCTTTGGGGGCGCCTGGGTGGCTCAGTTGGTTAAGCGACTGCCTTCATCTCAGGTCATGATCCCAGGGTCCTGGGATCGAGTCCCGCATCGGGCTCCCTGCTCTGCAGGGAGCCTGCTTCTCCCTCTCCCACTCCCCCTGCTTGTGTTCCCTCTCTCGCTGTGTCTCTCTCTGTCAAATAAATAAATAAAAATCTTTAAAAAAAAAAAAAAAAACACTGGGGCTTTGGGAAGATAGCTCCACAGGCATTGGAGGAGGTGAGGCTGGGCCTGGGGGCCGGCAGACGGCTGGTTCCACAGGCCAGCCAGAGATGACATGGATCCAGACCAGAGTAGGAAAGTAGGGGATGGAGTAGAGAGGACAAATGTGAGAACCATTCATTCATTCATTCACTCAACAAATTTACTGAACTCATATCATGCTTCCTTTGTGGAACTCACCATAAAGTGAACTAAATAACTGTATATAAGTGAATATAAAATTGTAATTCTGAGAAATGCCAGAAAGGAGAGATATTTGGTGGTATGAATTTATAATGGGGTACATTTGACCTAATCTGGGAGAGAAAATATGCTTTCCTTAGGAACCGACTGAGACCTGAGGATAGTGGGAAATATCCAAGTGAGGAGGAGAGGTGCAGCCTGAGCAGAGAGAACAGCATGTGCAAAGGCCCAGAGGCAGGAAGCAGTGTGCTGAGTGCAGACCCTGAAGGAAGACCAGAGTGGAGGGAGCCTGGGTCCAGATGGGGCTGGCAGAGCCGGCCAGGCTGGCCCAGGCGCAGAACCTCACAGGCCAGAGCAAAGACTTCATCTTTACCCAAAGACTAATGGGAAGCTGTCAGAGGGTTTTAAGGATGCAGGTAATGTGTACAAATTTACATTTTGAAAATTGTTCTTTGGCGGCAGTGAGTAAAAGCCTAGAATGCACCCTGACTCCAGAGGGAAAAGGAAAAAGTTTAAAACAGCCAATAATGGATGTCTTGTCATCCCCAAGTTCCCATGAAAGATTCTCCAGTGTTCTTGGGGAATCACTAGAAGAGAATGACAAACAGCCGCTTGGAGGGAACGTGGGGTTTGTTAATAAAGCCGTAGCACAGAGCAATGGCTTTTCCAGGACCTGGGGCCTGGAAGGCCCTTTTAAATCCATTTCTGACAAAAAACAAAAACAAAAACAAAAAAAACCACAAGAACAAAGTTGCCCAGCTAAGCAAGGGGATAACGGAGATGCTCGAGAAGATGGCTCTTGATAGAAGGCAGGCGCGGGGTCATGCACCCAGAGATGGGTGGGGTAGATGCAGGGCCCACTTGCTCAGTTACACATCTAGAAAGTGCTGGGAGTCATCCTGAATTCCTCTCCTGCCATCACCACCACAAGGCATCTGCAAACTCCTCAGCTCCACTCACAGTGTTTTCCAAATTCCGCCACTTTCCACCCCTCCACCTGGAGTCCCACGGTAGCCACCTACCCGGAAGCTTTCCAGTCTCCTCTGCTCTGTCTAATCTCCACACTGCAGCCAGATCCATTTATTTTAAACCCTCCATGGCCTCTTATCACACTTAGATAAAATCTCTGCTGGGCCTGGCCTCTGGCCCCTGGCTAGCTCCCCAGTGCATTTCCTAACTCTTCCGCTCTCACCCCCTCAGCTCCTGCCATATTGCAGACTGCAGGTCACAGGCTCACCAACCCAACTCACAGCTTCACACTTACTTTCCCCCCAGCCTAGGCTCTTCTTCCTCCAGAAATCTCCTTGACCTTCCTGAGACACCATCAGCCCCTCCTGTCTTCATTTCCCATCATGGTCCGTCATGCCAATAACTTTTTCCCTAATTCCCTACATCCCCTCCCCTTCTCTGCCTGGCTAAACACCACTCCTGGAGAGATCCCCTGGCCCGTTAGGGACTGAGTGTTCGTGTCCCCCCACACTCATGTTGAGATCTAATGCTCAACTTCATGATGTTCGGTGGTGCTCAGGTGATCAGGTGGAGCCCTCACAAATGGGGTTGGCACGGGAGAAGCAGATGCCAGAGCTAGCTGGCTCCTTCCGCCATGTGAGCAGCCAGATGCCGACGGTCTGTAGCCTGCAAGAGAGCTGTCACTGGAGCCCAACCGTGCTGGCACCCCAATCTCAGACGTCCCAGCCTTCAGAGCTGTGAGAAAGACATTTCTGTCGTTGATAAGCCTCCTGGTTTATGGTATTGTGTTATAGCAGTCCGAGCGAAGACACCCACTATCGGCATTGTCCTCTCCACTGCCCCCCAGACCACTGAGCACTGCAGGTGAGCATCCTGCATGAAGGCAGCTGGGCGCCCCAGAGATTCTCAACATCAGCCGGCCCTTCAACCCTGCATGGAAACCTTCGGTACACTCCCCATCAACTCACTCTGCCTCCCTTCACAATGGACGCTGCAAACCTCCTATTTCCACGGCCCTGGGGCTTGCCCACGGCCCCAACACCTGGCCTGTTATTATTAGAAATCACTGAAGAGAAATCTCTGATAATGCCCCACCAGAGGCCAAACCACTGACCTTCGTGCATATTGACCACCCTCTCCTCCTAACCTCCTGTTTCAGCTGAGTACATTCCTCCTATCTAAGGTCGGGCCCTCCATCTCGGAGGCGATCCTTCTGACCTTCACAGGACACCTTCTTGATCCGTGTTCTTCCTTGTGCCCAACCTTTCCTGGTCAACCAGTTTGTTCAGATCTAGTTGATTCACAGCCTACTGGGGACTGGTCACCAGGTCTCCTAATGCCTGCCTAATCCTATGTTCCTCTAGACCATGCAACCTCTTCAATGGTGGAGGATACACTTGTAAAAAAAATTATTTGTAGGCTCAGGAATTATTTTAGAATAGTGAATGTTTTCATTTGAGCCACCACCATATTTTTAAGAGTTGGCAGCTACTGAGTGATACAAAACAAATAAAATGTGCAAATAACATAAACAAACAAACAAAACAAAACAAAAATGGGAACAGGGAAAGGCGGGGCATAAGAAAAGTTCCCTCTATGGGGCGCCTGGGTGGCTCAGTCTGTTAAGTGTTCGACTCTTGATTTCTGCTCAGGTCATGATCTCAGGGTTGTGAGACTGAGCCCCATGTCAGGCCCTGCTGGAGATTCTCTCCCTCTGCCTCACCCCCTGCTCACTTGCTCTCTCTCTCTCAAATCATAAATGAATAAATCTTAAAAAAAAAAAAAAGAAAGAAAGAAAGAAAAGCAAAAGAAAGGTTCCCTCTGCTGGATTTTTCCATTTTAAAATACCACCAACCAAACAATGAAACCCCTCCCCACCCCTCCTTGTTCAGCTGCCTCAGTCTCCCCGTCCCTTCAGGGCCACGCCCCACCACATGGTCTCTGTTTCCTCTCCGCTCTCCCTTCAGCGTCCCCTCCGTGGCTTCTGCCCCATCACTCCACTGATGTGGCTCTCTGCATGGTCACAGGTGACTGCAAGGTCGCTGAGCCCAGCAGAACCTTTCATTTGGTCGTACTTGACCTCCCTTGTGTTCCCCCCAACCATTCCCTGATTTTCATCATAATTTGGACTCCATCAGTTGCCTCAAGGTTTGCCCTCAAGCCTTCTCTTCCCAGGCCAAGGGCCTCCGGGTGACCTCTAGCACACCCTGGCCTCAGCCACATCGCCATTCCCATGACTGTCAGAACCCACCTTACTTCTGAACTCCGAGGCCCAGAGGTCCAGCTGGGCCCTTGACAAACCCCCTCCATCCTGTACTTCCTCTCGCTCACCTCCAATCAGTTCTGCAGGTACCACCATAGCAATCTTCATAAAACATGAATCTGACCTTATCACTATGGTAAAAGCCATCCCAAGGACACGAACCACAATCCTGAATGTGGCCTACGAGGCCGTCCTATTCCGTACCCAACGTCATTTCCTCTTCCC